GGGATAAGATCATTGATCTCTTTGAATCATGGATATCAAAACATGGAAAGATTTATGAGAGCATTGAAGAAAAATGGCATAGATTTGAGATTTTCAAAGATAACTTGTTCCACATTGATGAGATTAACAAGAAGGTAGTTAACTACTGGCTTGGATTGAATGAGTTTGCTGATTTGAGCCATGAAGAGTTCAAAAACAAGTATCTTGGCTTGAAGGTTGACTTGTCCAACAGAAGAGAATCCTCTGAAGAATTCACCTACAAGGATGTGTCCAGCATCCCAAAGTCAGTGGACTGGAGAAAGAAAGGTGCTGTTACTGATGTCAAGAACCAAGGTTCATGTGGTGAGTGTCCTTTACTCCTATCTGAGTAGCCATGGTTACAGAGATTGAGTAATGTGATCATAACATGGTGAATGCATATATATTTCTGCAGGTAGCTGCTGGGCCTTTTCAACAGTGGCAGCAGTTGAAGGTATAAATCAGATTGTTACAGGAAATCTGACATCCCTGTCTGAGCAAGAGTTGGTCGATTGTGACACTACTTATAACAATGGGTGCAATGGAGGACTTATGGATTATGCATTCTCTTACATAATCTCCAGTGGTGGACTCCACAAGGAGGAAGATTACCCGTACATCATGGAAGAAGGCACCTGTGGCATGAAAAAGGTATAATAACAAGGCCCATCAGCAAAATATATTACTAGCTGACAAATAAAAATCGACCACTGCTGTATTCTTTGATTTTAATGATTTATGTCTTTGATCTTGCAGGAACTATCAGAGGTAGTAACCATTAGTGGATACCATGATGTGCCACAAAACAGCGAAGAAAACCTACTGAAGGCACTTGCAAACCAGCCCCTGAGTGTGGCCATTGAAGCTTCAGGCAGAGACTTCCAGTTTTACAGTGGGGTAGGCTGGTCTACATTTAGCACTACTGGCTGTGTATATCTTTCATTTTGAATGGAAGGCTAAATTAATTTGATATTGCAGGGTGTTTTTGATGGACATTGTGGAACTGAGCTAAATCATGGAGTGGCAGCCGTTGGATATGGATCAACCAAGGGGTTGGATTACATTATTGTTAAAAACTCTTGGGGACCTAAATACGGAGAAAAGGGTTACATAAGGATGAAGAGAAACACTGGCAAGCCTGCAGGAATCTGTGGAATCAACAAAATGGCTTCCTATCCCACTAAAAAGAAGTGACGATATGCCAAATGGTCTGTATTTGTATTTTCCCTTTTTTTCTTTTCCATTTCTGAAATCTGGATATCATGGGATGATGTCTTGTAATAATTGATTTTCTAAATTAACGACCACTAAAGTTCATGTTTTCTTTACTACTACGCTACAGCTTCCTTAAAATCTGAAGAAATTTACAAGAAAGAAACTTCCTTTCAACACTACCATGATCTGTAATGGTTGGATGGCAAAATAATAGCCAAATCCCATTTGGACCTTTTGTTTAGTAATCTAAACAAAAAAAAAAAAAAACTGTGTAAGAGCTGATCACCAAATTATTTTAGGCTTACAAATGAGCATGAAAAACCCATGGTGATAATGTACTATACACAGCTACAGCTAGCTAGCTAGCAGTACTTCTCTTCACTAACCACTGCAAACACCACCACAGCCACCTCTACCTCCATCACCGCAACCACCACCACAGCAATTAACGATGGCCTGATCTCCATCACGTCTTGATTGTAATTTCCCTTCTTTTTTTCGGTCACCAGGATTTACAGCATTCACTACTTCCATCAGCGCAAGCTAAAACAATCATTGATGTAACTGAAATCGTCATCAAAATTTGGCAAATTAGTAGCAAAATCCCACTGGTGAGGATATGAACAGCTTCACCTCCTTGATTTTCAAAGGCTCTTGCCATCTTCACTAGCTAGTTAGTTAAGTATAGGCTTCACACTACTGATCTGTGAATATACATTCCTGAAATCCAAAACAATTCCTGAATTCCCATTTTCTTCTGACACTCGCTAATTAACGAGCTTCATCGTAACTTCCTATTTACAGTAGCGGCAGGCAGGCACATCATTGATGTCCAAAAATGTCACTGTGCTGCAATTTCTTCGCTGTCCCGGCACTTAATATACGGCTAGCTAATTGGTTACGAGCTATTCTCATCTAGTCAAAAGAAATAAAAAATCCTTTTTTTTTTTTTTTTTTTTTAAATTTAGATCCTCAGTCTTTTTACTTTTCATTTGCAATTAAAATTTTCTATCTTATTAATCAATTTCTGCAATTAAATTCTTTTATCCCATTGACTAATTTCACACATCCTGAAAACTCTAAAAAATTATATATTATTATTTTAAAAATCTATATATCTTTTGCAAGCATTCAATGTGATTCGAAATTGATCATGGAAAAAAAAAATTAATGTAAGAAAAATTAAGAATTCAAATCATAAAACACTTATAACCAATTACTTTTAATACTATATAGAAAGTTAGAAGATCAAAGTTTTATGCAAAAAAAATTCCTAGATACCGATATTCTGAGAGCGAGGAGAAAAAAAATTGATAATCAGTCAATGCAACTATCTCATGAAGGTTAGGCTTTGACAATTAATCGCATATGTTAGTGCAAGCAGCTAGCAAGAATTCTTATAGTGAAGCATAATTTTTTTTAATTCTTCATCTATTAATTGGTTGCTTCCTGGACTTATTCAAACTTTGAACTTGTAAGAAAAGAGGGAAAAAAAAAACTGATTCAATTGCAGGGTACATAAACCTGAGTTGAAGTATATATTAGCAGTAAATTATCATAAGAACGTATAAGCTATTAGGGTATCAGCGTGTAATACCTCTTATCAATTTACAAATTAAGACGAATCGATTATATCATATTTTGAATTATTGACCAAAATATTGGTCAATAGAAGAAAATTTCACTTTTTTGTGATTTTTAATTTTCTTTTTATGTTTAATTATGTTTTTTCATCGTATTGTTTAATCTTATTTTATATTAGATTTATGTAGAGATATAAAATAACAGTATGTATTATGTATTTAAAGTTTTCAAGATATATGTTATTGTTTTAATAACTTTATGTATTTTTTATGTTGCCTCAAATTAGTTAATATAATAAAAAATTTAATTATAGATAAAAAAATTAAAAACCTAAATTAAAAAAATTAAAACTTTTTTTCCTTTAAGCAATAATTTAGAATGCTTAATTAATTTTACCGTTAGCGTTTCGAGTTCCACAGTGGCAGCATGAAAAGTGATACCATCCACGTTTTTGGTATGGCAAGTCAGTTTTAATACCATATCTGGCTCTGGGCTAAACCCACAATTTCTATCTTGTGTTTTCATAAATTGTTGTTCAAATAAGTTCATGTATTTTTACTTTAATCAATTAAATTTTTATTTTCAATTTCAATTATTTGAATATAATTTTTCAAATTTGATAATATATATATATATATATATATATATATATATATATATATATATATATATATATATATATATCTCACGGTATATAATTATATGCTTTTTATTCAAAATTAACGTATAAATTTTTTTGATTTTATTAAATCATACGTAATTAATTGAAATTATATATATATATATATATATATATATATATATATATAATTGATTGAATTAGAAATATAAGGAGTTTATTTCATGGATTTATGAAAATACAAGATAAAAGTAGTGGGTTTAATCCATTGGTTACTTGAGTTTTTGTTATGGAAAAGTAATTGAATTGTTTTTATTTACGTAATTCATCGACTGAAGTCAAGGTAACTTGATGACTAATGGAGTAAATAGTATATAGTCCCTCTAGTTTGGAAAAATGAATCATTTACTTTAAAAGCTAATTATTTAGTTTATTAAATAATTTTGATCATATTTAATTTAATATTATTTTATTTTAAAAAATATTTTTTTATCATTTTTTTATAATATTTATTTTCTTTAAAAAATAAAATAAATTAGAAAAAAATATAAAATAAATAAAAGTAATTAAATAATTAATTTTTAAAAGACAAGGATTAATTAATTTATTTCTCAAAAAGAGAGGGATTAATTATAATTTACTCAGACAAATGTAACCGAAAGTCAAGGTGACTTGACGAGAGTGCTGTCATTGAAGAAGAAACCCAAAATATTTGGTTCCCGGTTAGCTCTGTGTTTGAAATTCCGAATTTTGCCCTTGAGGATGATGTCATGACCCAAGAGTGTGAGGTGGATTAACATCGTGACAGTGACATAGTGGCAGGCAGGCAAACCCAATGGCTGGTTTGTAATTTAAGTGGAATTGTCGATTAGACAAAAGACTAAATGGTAAAATACCCCTTGAACTTGAACAAAAAATATGAATAGTCCCTAAACTACAATTCCTGTTTTTATCCTCCAAAAGTCATGATTTTTTTTAATCTGTCTTTTTTTAATTAGGATTATAACGAGCGAAAAAATCTCTCCGTCTCTCTTTTTTCTTCTATTAGTAAACATATTTTTCTAAGTTTTTAGAAAAATTGATTGAAATTAAGAGAATTTTTATGAGTTGTTTTTATTAATTTTTCAACAAAATCTTAAATAGAAAGAGCAAATTTAAAAAATATATTATTTAATAATACTATAAATTGATTTAATTTAGTGCTTATGTACTCGGAAATTCTTCAATCAAGTACAATTTGAGTCCAAATAATTTTAAATTTATTTAATAATTGTTTAATAGAAGAGAGCTATTCTCGTTTTGCAGCTAAGGTATATAGATCTCTTGACGAACAAATAAAAAAAATTGTAAAATTAGAAATGTTTTAGTTTAGGAGAGTATTTAATTTTTGGTTCAAGTTCGAGGGGCATTTTACGATTTGGCTGAAACAAAAATCCCCTCTTTTCTTTTCTTTTATTTTCTTCCACTCCCATTGTTTTTCCTGTCCATACTGCCTCAAAAATCGACCCTTCTCAGCTCAGTGGAAATCTGGCATAAACGCCCTGATTTCGAGTTCTTCAATACAATGAGAACTAAATCCGGCGGTGTCAAGCCGCGCTTTGCAAAATCGCGTCAGAAACCTCCCTCATCCGCCACTCTACGCCCATTTCCTCTCGTCAATCCGGTACTTGCTCTCCTTCTCTTTTCTATTATTTTTCTTTTTATCAATTTTTTTTTTGTTTTGTTTTAATTAACTTAAAATTTTTAAAAACTGGACTATTATTACAGGATGATGATGATGATGATGATGATTTTAGTAAAAGATCAGGCCGAAGCACTGATGATTGTAATGTGGCTGATGGTGATGATTGGATGGAGGTAGAGGCATGCTTAATATGTAATGGACGTGGGGAATTGTTGGTTTGCTGTGTGATTGATTGTCCAGTTTCTGTTCATGAAAAGTGTGCAAAGTTTAAGCTTACATTTGATGATTTGGGTAGGTTTTATTGTCCTTATTGTTCCTACAAAAGAGAAGTTGCTAGGGCCAAAGAGTTGATGAAGCAGGCTGTGTTGGCAAAGAAGGTTTTGTCGGGTTTTATAGATTCTGAATTGGTGGCTGGTGAGCCTAGTGGTGGTAGAGAGAGGCGGGACAATGGAAAAAGTGTGGAATTTGACGGTGCTGAACAGCAAGCGCAAATGGAGGAGTATTGTAGAGACAATGGGAAAGGGTTGGAAGTTGATGATGCTGAACAACAAGCACAAATGGAGGACGGTTGTAGAGACAATGGGAACGGTTTGGAATATGATGATGCTGAGCAACAAGCACAAATGGAGGAGGATTGTAGGGAGGATGTGAAAGGAGTGGAATTTGGTGGTGCTGAACAGCAAGCCCAAATGGAGGACGGTTGTAGAGACAATGGGAAAGGGTTGGAATTTGATGATGCTGAACAAGAAGCACAAATGGAGAAGGATTGTAGAGGTAACGAAATGGATGATGCATTACGTGGTGCTAAACCATCGAAGAAAGCACCCTCTCAACTACACACCACTGCTGAGAAAGAAGCTAAAAACGAAAACAAGACAGTTACCCCTCCAAAGAAATCAAGGCAACGCTGGGAATTTCCTAAGGCTCCGTGAGTGTTTTTTTTTTTTTTTTTCCATCTATTTGAAGAAGTAAATCTCCAGTTTAATCACTTCAATTATATAATTGTTTAGCCAATGAGGGACGGTAACAAAATGGACCTTTTGTAATCAACCTTCTGTTTCCAATTTGCAGACGTCAAAGGTTGCGTTGGACAAGTGAGGAGGAAGACATGCTAAAGGTATGAACTTACATAGCATTGCTACATTGTTAAAACATCTTTGCCTATAGATGTGACCCTAGGATAATATCTAGTTCTTCAGCTCTTAATTCGCAGTCATTGATGGACAACTTTAGCTTTTGAACGACTGAATCAGCAAAGAAATGTTAAATGTTGATTTGCCCGACTGGCTGGCAATATGTTCTTTGACTGCAGGAAGGAGTGGAGAAATTTGCAAAACCTGGACAAAAAAATATTCCATGGAAGAAAATTTTGGATTTTGGTCGTCAAGTTTTTGATTCAACTCGAACTCCCACTGATCTCAAGGAAAAGTGGAGGAGAATATGACAAAAGAGTATGTTGATGTTTATGACAGCCACCTTTTGCTTTTCATTGTCTGATGCTCTGCTGGGATGTAAATTTGTCTTCTCTATCTTGGCTCCATACTTTTTTTTGTTGCTTGACATGCTTAGTACTTGAAAAGCGGTTGGCAAGCCAAGCTTTTGTACATCTTTTGTGTATGGATTATCAGATAAATACTGTAGTTTTGGGTTTGTGATGGTGTTTTTATTGAACTCTTGGAAAATTAAGTTGGATGATTCACCTGCAATTGCAAGTGTAGACATGTATGTGCCCACATAAGCTGCCAACTTCACTAAAGTTTTTCTATTTTGGTTAGATTTAGCAATATTATTCAAAAGTTATGCTAGGAAATTCATCAGTTTACACCAGATGGACTTGAATTCTTTACTTTTTCCTTTTCAGTTTCGTTCTTCTTTCTATGTTTCATGTTCTGTTAGTGTCATTGGTCAAGCAGGCAATTAAACCTGTAATGGGTTTTGAAAGGTACTTCCTGGCTCTCTTAGGCACTTGAATTAAAGATTTGGTGGCAAGTTGAAAATAAAACTGCCTATGCATTTCAAGCAGCTAGGTGGACTGTTTTGCAGCTTTTTGTTTGTCGATGAAGCTTTTACTTTTATGCAGCAGCAGCGATAGAGAACAGCCAAGCTACATGATCAAAGAATTTTGGTGAATTTGGAATAATTAAGCGCTAATTTAAAGAGGATACCAAAAGTAACAGTACAAATTTATCAAAATGGTTTCAAATTTTTACATAAAAACATTTAAGAGAGTTTTGGAGTTCAATCATCTAATGGTATTTCACAAGCTAAAATCTGATACTTTGAGGAGGAAAAACAAAGAAAAGAGAGAATTGCAGCTGATCTATCTGGATTTTCTTGTCTAATTAAGAGTACTTACAAAAAATGGGTATGTGTAGTTCCTTACAGAGCAATCTCTTCTTCAGGAATAGAAGTATTTGGGTGGCGATCAGCAACCGTCGAACTTCTGAACAAGTACAGCTCGATAATTTCATTCTCATTCTCATTCTCCTCCAATGATCTCCCATTAGTTTCTCGTGTGAAAAAATATGTCACAGCCATTCCCAAGAAACAAATCCCACCCAAACTCACCAAAGCAAATCTCGTTGCGCTGATTTTTGGAAGATCATCTGGGTCATCATATTTTGTAGCCCACAGAAATCCAAGAGTCCCAAAGAAAGCACCCAACTTCCCCATTGCCCCAGAAATCCCATGGCATGTTGATCTGAACCTAGCTGGAAAGAGTTCTGCTGGCACGATAAAAGTCGTGGTGTTGGGTCCAAAATTTGCAAAGAAGAATGTAAGACCATAAAGAACTAGGAAACCCTTATTTTTGTTAGTGCCCCAGTATTTGTATGGTATCCCTAATGCAAGATAAACTACACCCATGCAGAAAAATCCAATCATTTGGATCTTTCTTCTTCCTAAACGATCAATATAATAGACGGTGAACCAATACCCTGGAATTGCAGCACATATTGCTACCATGGTTTGGAAGAAAGCAACTTTGAAAGCTTCATCATAAACATTTGCGTTTTCCAGGTCAAGATGCTGCTTGTAAATCTGGGACTGGAAGAGGTTGCTGCTATAAAAGGCAATGTCAAGAAGCAACCAATTGGTGGCAGAGGAGAAGAGATCAATTCCGTGCCTACGCAAGAACTGCATGGAGAACAGGGGATAAGATGGTGGATTTTGTGGCAGCTCTATCGGAGAATCTTCTGCTATTTGGCTAATCGAAACATCTAAGACCTTCTCCATGTCTATTGCTGCTTGCTGGACATTATTCTCCACCAGAGCTGTGTACCTACATGATATGACAAAAAAAGAAAATGAAAATTAAGCAGTGCAAATCGTGTAATAATACTAATAAATTGTTTTTAGAATTAGATTAACTTGCTTGAGTAACCTCAATTTTCTCGGTCGACTGTGAAAGAATCAACACTAGATTTTGTAACGTCATGACTGAAATTGAATGGAAAAAAAACAAAACCGTTTCTTCTCATGGAAATGAATTGATTTTCTTTGGTAGAATAAAGATTAAATTATAAATTAGCCCTTCTAGTTTTAAGAAATGAATTGATTTATCCTTTCTTGTTTCAAAAACTAATTATTTAATTCTTATATTTTTAATTTTTCTTATAATTTAATCCTTTTCATTCTTTTTCAAATGTATTTTTGATTTCTAGTTTTAAGAAATGAATTAATTTGTCCTTCTTATTTCAACAAATAATTATTTAACCCTTATATTTTTAATTTTTCTATAATTTAATCCTTTTTGTTCTTCTTCAAATGTATTTTTGATTTCTGGTTTTAAGAAATGAATTAATTTGTCCTTCCTATTTCAACAACTAATTATTTAATCTCTATATTTTTTATTTTTCTTATAATTGAATAATTTTCATTCTTTTTTAATGTATTTTGATTTTTTTAAAGAAATATAAAAAGTAAAAAAAAGTAAAAAATATGGAATGATTGATGAGGAAAAAATTAAATTAAGTTAAATGTAATCAATCCTAGTTAATAAATTAAATTATTAGTTTTTTTTTAAATTACTTATTTATTTTTAAAAAATAAAAGGATTAATTTATAATTTATTCATATGTATTCCAATCATGACATGACTGGACGGTATATTTTAATTTATCAGTTGCAAGAAAATATTGATCATTAATATATGAAAGATTGAATAATTAATTCGATTGGTGACATTTCGTGATGGACGCTGATAGATCGTTGTCCATACATATGGACATAGAAAAAAAAATCCATTTGGTCAACCTAAGGACGCCGGCGTTGCATGCTATGGTCTCCTTCTTAACCAATTGTACATAAAAAAATCAGTAAAAGCCAAAATAATTGCACCATACTAAACATTAATAATACCAATGAGAAAAATACAAAATAAATAAATAAAATAAAATAAAATAACTTCTTTTAGGTATTGTGACCACTCGAAATTTTAAAATTTAATAAAAATCCCTCCATATTTAAAAAAAAATCACAAAAATGTCTTTTTTATCCAAAATATTCGTAATTTTTGTCCATCATTCGTTTAGTAATAGAAGTTTTTTCAAAATGTTAAGAGCGTTTCGATCGAGTAAAAACAAGGTTTCCGTAATTTTGAATGATTCATGATGCATTCGAAAAAAACGTTCTGTACCTGGCGGATTCAGGCATCATCATGCGCCAATAATATGTGAATCCAGCAGGAACAGCACCAAAAACCAGAATCAACCTCCAAGCAATATCGGCATGTTCTGGTGTATGATCCTTTGACAAGTTCTTGGAAGCAGCCTCAAACATCTTAGACACAGCCATGGTCACCATGGAGCTCACCAAAATCCCAAACCCTTGCATTGAAAACACAGCCGCTATGAAGGAGCCACGTGTCTTCTTATTAGCAAATTCAGACATGATTACAGCCGACAAAGGGTAGTCTCCACCAATCCCAAGTCCCAGGAAAAACCTGAAACACCCCAAAGTGACAAGAACACAGGTTTTGGTCCTGCAAAAGGAGAAGCCGCTCCCGATTGAGCTGACGACCATGAGCATCAATGATATCCCGTATACGTGGCGCCTTCCCATTCGATCACCAAGCCTACCAAATACAAGCTGACCAATCACCGTTCCAAACAGAGCTGTGCCTAACATGAAAGCAAGCACAAGTGGCGGGATTTCGTATTTGTCGTGATGATTGTCCTCGTAATATACTCGGCCGAGAAGCTTCAGGATTGGAGGGATGCAAAAGAGATCATAGGAGTCACTGAAGAGTCCCATGCCTGCTACTATTATGGCTTTGAAGTGATAATACTGTATTTTTGCTGCATCAAGGGCAGAGAGTACTTTTAACGCCATTGTTAAAGAGCTTCAAGGTGGGAGGGGAGCAGGAAAGAAATGAGGAGCAAAGAAGATAGAAAGAAGAGACTTTCTTTGGTGTTCAGTCCGGGTTGTTACAATGAGTTTGCAAGGGGATTTATAAATAAAAATCTTCTTGGTTAAGTTTGTATTTGGTCCCTAAACTCTTAATTTTTGTCATCTCGACCCCCTTATAGTTTTTGTTTTTATGTACTAATACTGTCCTCCTGTCAACTATATATCATCAAAAGTTTTACCAGCAATATTAAATCATGCCATTATAAATCAATTTTTTTTTTGTCTTAAACCAGTATTAAAATGATCTTTTAATGGAGGTTAGTGATGAACAAGTGATTATACAGATAAAGAGTTGGCCAGTTGGAGAATGATATTAGAAAACACTCTAATAGAATGACCAAATTTTAAAAAATTTATAGTAAGGGGACCAAATACGTAAAGAAAGTATAAATCAATAAATTTGAGAGTAGACAACAAATTAGTCCTTTTTATTTTGAAAAATAAATTAATTAGTTCCTCTCGTTTTAAAAACCAATGATTTAGCTTTTCATATTTTAATTCCATCAATAATTTAATATTTTTATCAATTATCTGTTAAATTAGTGGTGAAGGTGTCCTATTGCGAATATTTTTTTCTCTAAATTTATCCTCTTTTTTTTTTTTTTAATGTTTTATTTATCTTCTTCATCCATTTTTGTCTCTCTCCTCGACCATTATAGTAGCATTTCTCTCTTCAACCATCATGACAAGTTAGATGATATTAGCAGAAAATATCACAGAATAACCAAAATTAATGGTAAGGGGACCAAACACTTAAAATTTTCTTAAGGGTAGTACAGATCAATAAATTTGAGGAACCTGTCATGCAATTTCCTGGGGAAACAGACGAAGGGATCACATCAAAGAGTGGACTTTTGACTGGTTTAATTGTATAATCTGCAGAGAGAGTTTCTGATTCCCTGAATATGCGAATCAGATCATTTCCAGTTAACTTCCGTTGATGTCAATATGTGGAGACTTACAGCCAGAATCTTTTGGGAATTCCTTTGGGTGGTGAAGGATATCAAGGGATCATTGGACAAGAATAAGTGTTTTTTATTACGTTGCTACGAATGTTCGGAAGTTTTTTTTATTATCTATCTGACCCTCTTTCGATGATCCTCTGCAGAATCGAACACTATTTTCAACATAAAATTCTCAGAGTTCTTAAATATCGAGGTTTATTACATACAGGATATTTAGATCTGCGGCTAAAATCACAAGCGACAAAGGGATTGTGTACGAGGGAATCCGCGTGGTCCTATTTTCATGGGCAGTTCGTGGGCCTCAGACGATGATAACAGCTCTTTGGATTTTGTTTAAACAATCGAAGATCATTAACTTCTTGTCTTTGATTGATTGAAGATTACTTCATTAGTTTCTTCTTGTTTTATGGGATAGCAACCTTCAAGGAAATTCCATTTCAAATATTTGGACCAACAATAAGCTGAAAAATATATTTGTTCAGAATACATTCATCTATGAGAAAATAATATTAGAGATGAGAAATCGGTTTTTCCGTTTTGGTTTCAGGTTTTCGACATTTCCATCCGTTTTTCGGTTAATCAAACTCACTAAAAAAAAAAAAAAACAAAAGAAAACCAAATATCTGAAAAGATTATTCCATAACATCTTTTCCTACAAGGCCATCAATAAGCAACACTGTAAAACAAGAAATACGAACTATTTGTATGTTTGGGATGAACGTTGAATATAGAAACAAAACAACGTCTAAAGGAAGAATTCACTGGTTAATATGGATTTTCTTCTAGCTTTTGTTCTGAGGAATTCTTTCTATCAAATAAAATTTCAACTGAAAGCTTACTTGTACCAACAATGATGAACCATCATGTAAGTTGAAGTTAATGAATCTTAACATTGAAAAGCAAATTCAAAACCTGCAGATTATGGTAGAGCCAAAGATATGATAAATTGAAGGAAAAGAAAGAAGTAATTTTGGTAATCATTGATAATGTAATGATCTGTTTGATAAACATAGTCTGCAGTAAATCTGGCAGTATATGCACTGTGAGAGATGTCCCTGCTTCCGATGTTTTCTTTCCTTTTGTTTCTTTCCAGCATGCCTACTGATTTACAGCATGCTTGTTTATTACAGGGGTTCATAAATGGTGCAATTAAGCTCTCGGATAAGAATCTGATCCCAAAAGTGGAACCTAGTTTGCTGGAAGAGCTATAGCATTCTGGATTTCATTACGGTCGCTTCCAGGATACCATCTTCCCGGAATTTAGCAGAGAAGAGTCGAGGGTCAACAGGCCCGGGCAACCTAAAAGAAATGGTGAATGCCCCCGGACGGCTGAGTTGCTGGAGTCTCATCCGCAAGACTTTGGATGAATCTTTGAGAAGTCGAGCATCAATGGCTGCCACCACACCTTCTATGTGAACAGTCCCATCATGTTCGATTTCACATTTTAAATTACCTGCAAAGACAAGCATAATGGACTGGGTAAACTCCTCATCACATGGGCAACCATTCTTCGACCGTTTTAAGCCTCAGAATTTAATAATGCTTACTTGCATTTCTAGATTCATTGTGGTGGAATCAAGAATTAGCCACAAATGTGTTGTTGCACTTAAGGAGCATGGTGCTTGGCATAAGCCAATGCTACTCAACATTTGAGATAACAAACTTACTTTCATTTCTCCGCATGCCAGGCAGTACAACACGGAAAAAATATGCTTGTTCATTAACGCCAATGTCGAAAAGACCAATGGCTGGTCCAGCACCACCGCTCTTTGCAGTTCCAGTCACAATCACATCTGGTGTTGTTTCCAGTTCGTTAGCAGAATCACGAGCATCCATGCTGCCCACGTAGATTCATGTGACACTCAAGATCTCAATATCCACATATTAATTATACAATCATTGTAAACAGTGATAAAGGCTGCTGGAAAATTCCAGCTATGAGTGCATGCAATTGTTTTCTACATGGAAAAATACATGTACAATAAAGGACACCTTTTAAATATTGGCTTATTATACTAAAAATAACGAATTTTATATTTTTTTAATCATATTAGCACATTTTTTGAATGAGATAAAAAATATATAAACTAAATTTCTAATAATCATATCAGTACGTATAAATTTTTTCGACTTAAATTTCATTTTAAACTGACATGTTATGGAAAGTAGGATGATAACAAGACACAAATGTCACGTAGGATCTCATGCAAGATTCTAAGTCATTCATATGACAAATTTATTCCCTAAAATATTTTCCCCTTCACAAAAAATCCTCCAGCCGACCCCGGTCATAGCTCCTCTCTGCTGATCATAGACCATAGCTGGCAACGACTTCCCTCACTGAAACTCTAGCCCGCATCCATCTTTTTTTCCTCTCCACCCTACCATTGTCCCTGAACAAACCTTTGCCACTGCAACTCTGACCACTCACGGCCACTCCTTGCCGCCAACCTTTAGCCAGTCGTGATAGCCAGCCTTCCACAGTCCTCTACCACTGTCCAGCAGCCATCTTCCTCACCCAAAACTCTCACCATCACTGTAACCCTTCCAGCCGTTGTTCATCACAGGCCTCCAACCTGCCACACCGAAAACCAATCGCACAACAGCTCCCCACACCCAAAACCACCATGATCCAAAGCCCGAGACTTCACCCACAACCATCTCCACTGAGTTATTAAAAAAATTTGGGTTTGGATTTTGCAATGAGAAAAATTAGAGATTTTTAGAAATTCTTGGGTTTGTGTTTGATTGACATGTAATTCATTTTGGAAAGTAAATTTGCCATATAAGCCACGTGAAATTCTACATGGAATCCTATATAGCATTTATGTCTTCCTGTCATTCTAACTCTCATGCTATGTCAGATTAAAACGAAATTTAAGATAAAAAAATTCACACGTACTAATAATATGGTTACTAGAAGTTGAGTTCATATATTTTCTAACAAATATTAAAAAAACATACTAATATGATTAAAAAATATAAAGTTCGTGATTGTTTTAGAACAATAAGCCTTAAATATTTAAATAACTTGCAAGTAACTTAAAATGATACAAAATTTGTCGCAAGTTGTACAGAGAAATAATTCTCTTAGATCAAATAAGCAATTTTAGCTTAAAGGGGGAGGTATAAAGGAAAGGGTTCAGGAAAACAATTCACTTAATTCCTAAAGTGTTGACAGAATTCAGGAAAAAGAGCATAGGGAGCCAAAAAGAAATACAGAGGTGTCTGAGGATATTTATATCTGAAATTTCTGAGCGCAGACAACATGTGAGATATAAACAACAAATAGGTCAACCATTTTACGAATTAGCCTCTAAAGGAAAATCTAAAATCCATAAGAAAAATCTGGCTCCAGAATCGTTGTCCCATATTTAAACATCTAGCACGGCAAACCTTTTTTCTTAGGAAACTAAAGCATAAACCCTGGAACATTTGTCCCTATAAAAAGGCACAACGTAGAGCCACGAGTACTATTTCCAATTTTTAACAGATAGCCAAATGTTTCAATAATTCCCAAGCAAACCCTTGGAATAAGATTTTCAAACCTATTTGTTGTTCCGAGAGTATGGTATTTAGGTGACAACATTATAGAAGATGACAAGGAGAATCATCAGTTCATCTGAGAACCTGAGGCCTGAAGATTACAATGAATATTGCAAAATTGCGCGTGATGCAGGTTTCTTATGTTTCTTATAAGCCATGATAAAAGATATAGATTTCTGAGAAAGAATGGAAGAAAGAGTACTATTCCACTAGAACCAACCCAATCGCAAATCTATATTTGAAATTTCTTACCAATGAAAACGACACCTAGATCAAGAATCCCCTAATTTGGTTTGCGCATAGGTACTAATTAATTTCAATTGATGCCTCATTAATTTCAATAACACAGTCGTTGTTGTTTCTCAGTCAGGCATTGAATGAAATAGCACTAGAAGATATGTTTCAAAACATTTCTTTGCTAAAGCATTACGTAAACTCAAAGCAAATGATTAAAAGAACACTAATGGTGCCACAATAACAGATGTAAAATCATGGAAATAAGAATGGATAAAATAAGGAAGAGATTACACCATGAGATTTATGTCATTATTCAGCAATTGCAAATTTTTCGAGCATATATCTAATTACTAAATTAACACAACGAATAAAGAGAGATAGAAAAATAACATGCTCAGTTATAGACTCATTTAAGAACTTGAATTTAGATGGTATTTGATCAGTAATTGACCCGAACATCTTAATTTAGAAGTGTCAGTAATTTAATTAAAGAACAACACAGATTAAGCTGAAACGCAGAGCAGTCTTTTAGAAGGGAGATGAAAATAGGAGTTCTTTTTGCATGGTTAGACATGAAAACAAGACTGAAAAACCTAACAATTGTGAAGTCTGAAGTAGTGAATAATTAAAGAATGGAATAAAACCAAATGACTTCCATTAATTAATCACATTCTTGAAAACTTAGCATAAAATTTCATGGAATTAACTAATTAAGCAATTAATGATTCCACTTCTAAGCAAACTACATTCACAATCAGTACTGTTTCTCTCTTTCTCTAAATCTTCCTTTCATGTTCTAATTTATCCGTTAATTAAAGACCCCTAATACCAATAAGATTGCAGCGTTTCAACACCTATATATCCTAATCTCTTCTAGATCAATTAATTGAGCCAAGAAAAACTGCAATCCATAAGGAAAAAAAAAGGTTTTCCTTTTGAAAAAAAAAAAAAACCCTGAAGGCCAAGATTCTTTTCTGGGTCTTTTAGCCAAGGTCAAGTCTAGCCTCTGTTCCTGTCACGTTAGCCAACAGAAAATACAAAAAGGAGCACCATATTTACACTAATCAGTCCATGATCATCAGTTTTCATCATTCCAAACAAAACAACGAAAATGCAAGAATTAGATTTATTCGTTGCTGAAGCCGGAAGGAAGTTTACCGGAAAGATAGTCTACGGCGGTATACGGCGGAGGTCTGGTCTGGTCTGGTCTGTGACTGTTGAGTTGGCGTCGTTGGTCAGTGCACTTTGGTCCTCTTCCCTTCCAACGTGATAATATATAGAGGGCCCTGAAACAATTAGAAGGTGCCACGTCAAAGTGTGGCCCCGCTGTTCTAGCGAGTCTTCGAGTTTAGCGAAGAAGCGCACACACGTCTATGGATTTAATTTGGATTTGCGCAGGTTGCCGTGCTGGAGTTGCCTAATATGTTGATAAAAATAAATAAATAAAGTTGCCTAATATCACCAGTTTAAACTTTTTTAATCCTTCAATAAATCACATTCAGGGCTACAGAATACCTATGTTTTTTTATATATAAAAGGAAAATTATATTTTAAAAAGAATTAAAATTTTTTTTCCGATCTTAAAAACTAATTAATTAGCCTTTATATTTTTAAATCTATATATAACTTAATACTTTTTTTTACTAAATAGAAAAAGGAAAAATAAGTAAAAAATATGAAAAGATTAGTAAAAAGGAAACTTTTTTTAGAATAAAAAAATGTTAAATTAACCATCGTCAATATTCATTAAAGAATTAATTAATTAATTAATTTTTAAACTAAAAAGAATCATGTAATTATTTTTTTGAAAAACTAAAGTAACCAATTTATAATTTACTTTTTTTGCTAGCAAGGAGAATTTACTCACCAAGAAAAAAAAAAAAAAGCACTCGAGCAACAGATAATTAAAAAAAATTTTCCTTTTTCAAGAAATATATGCACAATCCAACTTAATTTGCTACTTTTAGCCAACAAAGGTAATTCACAATGAATAATTAATTATTGGTAATTTGTTATCAATGACAAACTAGAGCACTACGTGTGTTTTAAAAAAATCCTTGCATTAGATGTATAGATGTCTTTAAAAAAAAAAAAAAACATTTAGATGTCCGCTATATGGGCCTGAAGGCCGAGATAGCTGAGTGAGTTGAGGCCATATGGAATGGGCTAATGGAACAAAGAAAAATATGGCCCATTAAACTTTACTTTACCACCGCAGTACAGAGAGAGACATTAGCTGGATAAGTTACAAGACAACCTTTGTTTTTCTTCAGCCTACCCTAGTTCCTACATTGAACAACATCATCAAATTCTCCAAATTGTACATAGCATAGGACTTAAACATTAACGTTAAGAAAAATTGCTCATGTTTGGGATAATAGGAGTCTAAGGCTGCCCAAAGATCGCTCCATTTTACTTTTGCTTTATGATGACCACTTAAATAATGCTATCAATTCTGAATTTGAGTGGAAACCGTTTTGAATGATGAATAATAAATAATAAATAATATTTATTTTATCAGAGTAACAACTATTTTGAAACGGAAGTGATCAAGTTTTTGTTATTCTCTAACACAACAGATGACCGACTTTAAAATATGAATAATTAAGTAAAAGATACTATTGCGACTTAATTTTCAGTTTCGATATATATATATATATATAGAGAGAGAGAGAGAATTTAGTTTATCTATAAAGTTGTAGTAGTGTTTGACATATTTTGATACTCAATTTATTTCAGTTTAGATTACATAAAAACGATAAATAAATAAAAAATTAACTCGGTTTAAGTTACACCGGAACGACAAACAATAGCAAAAAAATAATTATCTTGAAAAACAATAAAATAGACTTCAAAGTATATATATAAAAGGATAACGTTTAACATAAAATTACAGTCATATCTAAGATATCTTTATACTCAATTTAAGGACAAGCATAATAATAAATGATAAAAATATATGTTTTATGAAATAAACGATTGTCTTAAAAATTATTGAATTTATATTATTTTTTAATATAATATACTACGGAATTCAAAGTATAAATAATAGGTTAAAAGTTTAGGATATTTCTTTATTGTTTTAAATGTCTTAATCGTGTCTTTTTATTCTTAATTTGTATTTGCATTTGGTTTATTCGATCATTGTTTTAAGCAACATAGACAATTTTCAACTTAAAAATGACATGATGTCAACATAGACAATCATAAATAAATTATTTTTGCTTCAACTTTCCCTAGTTCTTACAATGAACAACAACATCAAGTTCTTCAAATTGTACATAGCATAGGATTTACCATTAACGTTAAGAAAAATTGCACATGCTTCGGGATATAGGAGTCTAAGGCTGTCCCAAGGGCATGGAGATCACTCCATATCACTTTCGCTTTATGATGACTGCCTCAAAAATGCCATCAGTTCTGAACTTGGGTGAAAACAGCCTTGGATTCGTGGAAGATTAGAAGAAACTGTGAATGGTCCTGGTGGGCACATTTGCTGAAATTTCATATGGAAAACATGCGATCGTTTCTTTATAATCTTTCCACCGCTTGTTGGCCCTTGGATATGAACCTTTCCATCAGATTCAATCTCACAAATGAATTCACCCGATACAAAAAAGTATTATCGATCTGTTAAAGGAAAGCGCTGAAACTAGGAAAGCAACAACCCAAGCAAAATGGCTGCAGTTTTTGAGAAAATGAGGACAACAACAAAGAGATGGGGACATCACCTGCTTTCTGCTGCTTTTGTTTTTTTTTTTTTTTTGATAATCTGCTTTCTGCTTCTTAACTAGTCAAGAATATGCTAATTTTTGCATACAGCATGTCCCAATTCCAAATAACATTAGAGGTTCCTTGTTGCGTGCTCGAAAACATATTATACATTACCATGAATAGATCAAAGAGAATTAAGGGTCAACAAAAAGACATACAAGAATCAGTCTGCACACCAGGAAGAGCAACTTGAAAAAAATATACAGCTTTGCTAATGCCTACGGCGACAATTCCGATTGGCGGTCCAGGCATCCCACTTCTTGCTGTGCTACTCAAAATGACAGATTCATCTGTGATATAATCTTCGAATTTAGGAAAAGTTTCACAAGGCATTGTTGCGGGCCCATCCGATTTGCAGCTCCTCCCAAAAGTGCCGCTTTTGAAGGAGAGATACCACAGTGAAATGCTGCCACTGGAAGGTCGCAATAGCGAAGCCTTTTGTATGTCTGTTGAAACATTGGTGGGTTTTCATTTCTAGAAGAAATAGTGCCAGCAATTTTATCATCACTATTTGGCATGTGAATTTGCTCAGTTTCTTCTCCACCTTTCTGGGATCCATGCTCATAACTCAGGCATTTCTTCATATCAATCTTCAAACTATCCATACCAGACAACTATTTGAACCTTTCCAGGTCCTCCTTTTTCATGTAAGATGTATCGGTATTCTCAATAAGAACAATCCCCTGCACGATTCCATGGCTTGTCGAGTACCTCTTATGGCCATGAATACTCAAAGGGAAAAAACTTATGAACTGCTTACAGTCCTCAATTGCCCCTGAGCCCGACAGATGCAACTTGCCTTCAAGATGCAAATACAACATATTTGGATTCAAAACAAGGCTGGGATGAGCATGTCTTAGGACATGGTAATACAAGCTCTCCAATTGAGAAACGCGGAGAGATGAGTCACCCAGGTTGTTTGAAGTGTATGGTGGTAACCCTTTAGCTAATCTATGAGCTGCCGAGCATCTGGGGTTATCAGAGTACACATCAGGACCCAAGAAAGTGCTCATGACGAATTTAAGCAAGAAATGCAGGTCACCAGATGGTGGATTGACTAATCCTCTAAAAGGAGCATTCTTCTCTTCCACATCCATGTTTCAAGCTAAGCTTCTTTTACAGCAAGACAACTCTGTGCACTGATCAACATGAGGACTGAGAGGTTAATTAATTTGAGATATTAACAGTACAGTAAATGATATGGATATCTATGATTTCAAGATTTCTTATTTATTTAAAGAAAACTCGAGAGAAAATTGCTCAACCAGCATCTTCTGTTATAAAACATGATTTTTTTTCTCTGTATTTTTTACTTGTACAAAACTTTGTGCTTGTTGAGGAAATCAATTGAAGTAATTAAAGTTCTAAGTTGAGGAATCTGTGACCTATGTAACAAAAAAAAAAAAAAAATCCAAAATAATTGTCCTCCTTTGCATGCATTTAATCCAATTATGCAAATATGATTCCTTACATTGATCCTTGATCAAAACTTTAACTTCTTTCTCAATGGGGCAAACTGCTTCCTCTCTAGCAACAAGCAGAGAGTGAAAATTCAAAGAACATTATTGCACTATAAGCATAAAGATTCCATTTTAAACCCCCAAACAAATTAGATTAAGTTTGAGCATAATGTTACCTTCTCAACACTGCAGTTCAAGAAATGCTGGTTTGCAGAGATGAATGTTCATGGATACAGCTCCCATTAAGGCTGCATTTGGACATAGATTGAGGGTTTGGATCAGCTGAAAGAAAGTCTCTTTTGCTTCGTGAATTTTCGGTTTCAGTTTCCACTAGCATCACAAACAGTTCCTGTGAAAGGACCCACTCGAGAGAAGAAACTATAGCATAATGTCATTGCACTTTCATGCTTAGACGACTTGTAGTTTTTCTTTCTTTAGATGACTTGCTATCTAGCTTCGTCTGTCGATATACTTGACTTGTCATTCGAGGAGAACGACATAGATGACGTGTCATCATGCTCAAGCAAAAGAAATTCTCGTGTAAAATAAGGATGCTGGAGTATCTTGACCATGTTTTTTTTTTAATTTATTATTCCTTTAAAGCATTCGTTGAGATTGCATTAGGGTATTTTGGGTAAAAACTTGTCATTTTATATTATTATCTGATTTTTTTTCTTTAGCCAATCAGAATAATTTTTTACGTAAATTTTCTGTAATGTATCAATCAATTCGGGGGTACTTTCGGTAAAAAAAATTTTGTACTTTTAAATTACTTTCACTTGACAATTAACTAACCAAAATGTGGTCCAATGGAAATTTATATTAGCCATCATGAAAAATTTTATAATACACAAAGAGTAACTAAGTAGCATGTACAATAGTTACTCTTTAGATTCACTTTGAGAAGAGAGATAGACACATAAAAAAGAAAAAAATTACATTCATACCCACCAAAAGTGATAAGAAGATTTTCACGTCCACTCAAATTTTTTTATTTTTTCTCTCTCTTTTTGTGTGTCTATCTCTCTCCTCAAAGTGAGCCTAAGAAATAACTACCGTATATGTCATTAGTTACTCGTTATATATTATAAAATTTCTTAGCCAGACATTAGGTCCAAGAAAAATTATAGCCGATTAGTTTTAAAAAATTATATCATTCAGCTAATCTGATTTTTTTTATAACAAAAAAAAAAAAATCAAATAATTATCCAAATTACTCGTTTTTGGAAAATTTTAAATTTTGTTTACTCGAATTGATTGGAATAGTTCATGTGATTAGGATTTTTTTTTTTAATAGAATTGACCACTAACGTTGACAATGTTATTGAATGCATTGACTATAAATCATATTTTTTATTGTGAACATAAAAAATTAAGGATGCTAGGGATGTTCTCCAAAATTTTAAACAATAAAAACTATCATTACACAGATTGGGTTTATGTGATTCAAACTAGATGATTAAGTAATGTAATAAAGCCCAATATAATTATTAGCTTTCCCAAAGAATTTTGGTTTGGTTCAAGTAGACTATTTAAATTTTTTTTTTTTTTTCATAAAAAAATTCCATTATCTTATGCTAAATTTCAAACCTGTAAGAAGTGTTTTTTTTTATATATCTTTTTTAGAAGAATTGTTGTCTAGTGAATTAAAAACGTGGCTCGTCATTTGCAACACACTAATAGTTGTGGTTTAAATTTTATTTTATCATAACACTCAATAGAAATTTTTGATAAATTTAAAACGTTCAATTTTTATAATCTATCAAAAATTAAATGGGATTTAGTGCTGATTTAATTTTAAAAAATAATAAATTTATTCTTGATTTAAGTAAAATTTAATCTGAATCTATTCTACTGTATGTAAAAAAGAAAAAAATTAAAATTGTGATCCAAAAGCCTCCAGTCTACACTACTACAACAAATTCGAAAAAGAGCAAGATCAGGTCTGACCAGAATCGAAAGATGTGTAGTGTTTCTCGAGAAATGTACTTGCAATGAAAATTCGAGAGATCCCAGATTCCAATGCATGTTCTTCAATCTTTCACCCCGATTCCAAGCATCCCAAATTGAATCTTCCCGGGCTCCATCCATCCTTCTAAAGCATCAACAACTGCTGCCTGCTGCATATGTCTTGTGTTTTCTAATGTTCTTGTCTCTATGATCCTTTAATTATCAAAAGCCTGTCCCCCCCAAAATCTCGATTGTGATGGAAGAATAATAGCAAGATAAAAATTGGGTCTTCTTCGGATTTGAAAAGAGACGATAAAATGCCACATCGATCTTCAGGAAAAGAGAAAGAAAACGCATCTATTATTGGCTATGCTAACATTTCTCTTCGAAAATACCAAACTTGCTCTGTGGTTTATTTCCTATTCAGTCCTTATCATGTTTTCACTCTCCTTTTCGTCTTCGGTTTCTAATGTTCTTATTCTCGTAATTACGTTACGTTTTTTTACGTCATTGCGAGATTAAAAATAACAAATAATAGAAAACCTGGATTCTAATTTATTTAATTATTAGACAATAAAAAATTATTTTTTATTATATAGTTTAAAATGTACAGATTTTTTCATAAATTTTTAACGTCAATTTTAATGATTCAAATTTATTTGATTATTATGTAATAAAAGAAGATTATCTCTAATTGTGTAGCTCAAAATCCATAAATTTTCCAACGAATAAAAAAAAATGAGAGAATTATATTGCTTCATATTTGTTGTAGCTGATTTTTTTAGGATTAAAAACGGAACAAGAGTGGTTCGTCAAGAAAAGAATATGATAACCTCCCTGCTTGGACCCACGAAGAATTGATCAAGGTTTTACCAAATGGATCGAAAAGATGGATGGATGGATGGTCAAGATCTGCTTGTGAATCTTTTCAGGCATCGTAACCCTAATTTGCTGCATTGCCATCCATCCCCACATAAAAAGAAAGCCAGATAGCTAGGTTGGACCCGTCAAACCCAATCATTTAAAATGCTTGAAACGCACATTGCTTTGTGCAGAGGGAACTTATTAGTCTCCTTGTCATTCTTGATTCTTGAGCTGGCCAAAAAACATGTCACAATTATAAGCCCACTTCTCAAATCTTAACGGTTTTCTTGTCATCTGGTTTCCATGTCATGTCTATGTGTTTCTCTTTGGAAAAGAAAAGCAAATAAAAGCAGATGATTTCGTCTAGTCGTAGAAGAGCTAGCGAGACTGAAACCTACTTTAGTGTTTATTCCATCTTTTCGATTTCATGTCCCCTCTCCCTGTTAGACACTGCTATATAAGAGCCTGACATTCCCCTTCTGTTCCATTCATTCTCCAACTCATCATTGCATTTGTTTCCTGTCCTTGTTTCTTTCTTTCTTTCCCTTTTTATCTCATCTTCTGTAGATCATTATTCAGCCATCATTTCCACTCAGAATTCTTCATGGAGGTAGAGCTATTTCTTTTCCTTTTTCTATTTCTATTTGCTGCTTCATGTACGTGGTATTTTATTATAAATTTTTTCTAATATCTTAGAATTTATTTCATGCCAACGAAGATCCGTTTCCAAGAAATGGTTGGAAGGCCAAGTAAAAATGGTTCCATTTTTCATCATGCAAGGCAAATGCCACTAAATTAAGATTTTGGTCGAAGCTTTTTCTTTTGAGCAAGAAACACTTAACCAAAATCTTATTATTAATATCCACGGTTTTATCCCAGTTCATATTTCTCATATGTACAGAGAATTCAATAATACTGTAGATCATTTTTTTTTTTTTTTTTGCCTATTTACTTTCGCTAGAATTTTTTATTTATAAAGTGCTCTTATAAGTCATATAAACCACTTGTTAGAAGATATTTTTGTCTCTCCCTTGAATTTTTTTTTTTTAAAAAAACAAACAGATTTAAAAGGAGAAAAACTCCTTAGCTCCCGTCAAAATTCGAAGAACAATATCAAATCTTATCAACTTATATTAATTTAGGCATGTAATGTCATTTTGCAGACTGTTGAATTGAAGGTGGAGATGGTTGGTATACATGAGAAAAGACTGAGGAAATGTCTGTCAAAATTGAAAGGTAGTGAGAGTGTTCAAATTCTCTCTTAATTTGATATAATTAATATTTTTATTGGTTTGATACTTTGCTTAATTTATTTTATTTTATTTTTATTTTCAGGAATAGAGAAAGTGGAAGTGGATGCTAATAGTCAGAAAGTGATGGTCACAGGATATGCAAACAGGAACAAAATACTTAAAGCCATAAGAAGAGGTGGTCTTAAAGCTGATTTCTGGTGTATCCAAAACGAGCTTCTCAGTGTTTATGCCAGTGCAAGTTATGGAAGCTTGAGATTCAACAACTTCAACTTCTAATCAAGACTATTTTGCTTCTTCTTTTTTTCCCTTCTTTTTCCCTCCCTGAATGGGATGATCATATATATATACCAAATCAAGTTGTGATTTGGGCCTTCATATTTTATTGTTTTTTTTTTCTTTTTTCCTTTCTGATTCCACTTCTCCTTTTTCTTTTTCAAAGGAACTTGTTACATGTTGAATGATGATACATAGAGTGAAATAGAAGAATCCTGAATTTTGCAGAGCCATATTCTTTCTTTCCCTTTATCTTTTCTTCTTTTTTATATTTTTAAGCATTTCTATATATTTTCGTAGTGTCTTCTTTGTTAAAATTAAGTACCGAGGAGAAGAAAATCAAAATTGCCAATTGTCTGATGGCTAATTGGATTTAAATTTGAAGAATGAATCTTTCCGGTGAAAGTATACTCATATACCATATTTAATACTTTTTTAACTCAAACCCAACACATACACCTAACGTTATTGACAGAACTAATTTATTAAGATTTAAATTCGTAATTTCTTATAAGAGAATATTATTATCATTACGTTATAAGTTATTTGACCCATGTTTAATATTTTGAATAAATAAAACTCAATCGATGATATTATTATTTTTTTCTAATATCTCAAATCAATTCCTACCGTGGAAATTGTATCGTGGTTATCCATAAATTTTTGTAAGAAATGCATTACTGGATAAAATGACACAATTACATAATTTTATTTACCGTCGTTTAAAATTCTGCCAATTAAGAGTGGTATTACTATTAGCACACGGAAATAACATATAAATGGTAAATTAATTCTTTTAAGTGCTGTTGATGACTCATACTTAAGAGATAACACATCGATAAACATTAAAAATGTGAGTTTTAGGCCCATATTGACTTAATTTAAAATATATCAACTTAATTGAAATAATATATATAATTAGAGGACTGATATATAGTTTGTCGTAAACTAATCTAGTCAACGATTGACTCTGGGCAGAAACTCAATCAAGAGATTTTTTTTTCTTTTTTAAAATCATTTTTCTTTATTCATGTACGTCAAAAACAAAGAATTAAGCACTATATATATATATATATGTAGTGCTGTTTGAGAAATGGAGGGTAAAGAAGTAAGGGAGCACTTGGTATAGAAATGTTTGAGATTCTTTTGAAAAAGTTATTTGAGATGTCAAATATTTTTTATTTAACAAGTAAAATACTACGTTAAATTGTTTAAAAACCTATTTATTCAATTCTCTTTTAAAACGAGGAGAATTTGATATGCCAAAGGGTTTTGACATTGTGAAGTTTTTTTTTTAACCAAAATGTCTCCATATTTTACATTAAGTAGTCTAATACAATTTTATTTTCACTAATAATTATACAAATATATTAAGAGACTAGTATATATTATATATTTATTATAATATAAATTTGAACAATTAATATGTATTCCGATGATTTTAATTTATTACCAAAATAATTTGTTATGTTCTTACATTGTTATATATATTATTTTATTTAATAATAATAATTTTATAAAATTAAATTTATTATTGATTCATTTCCATATATTAGTTTTTTTAAAAAAAAATTAACATCATAAGTATTTATATTTAAAAAAATATCTTATTTGTCAAATTAGACATTTTATTTTATTTTTTTTAAAATGTCAAACTTGTTTGCGTTGATCGTGAATTTTAAAAATTAAACCAAAAACTTTTTATTTTTCAATCAAATACAAATATCACATTCTTTATCAATTACATTATTTTAAAAATATCTAAGAATCCCCGCACTAAAATCTAAATATTTTCACGTATCAGGTCAAATTCATTTTTTAAAAAAACTTAGATTCCATTTGGTAATAAAACTAATTACTATGTTTTGTATATATAGTACTAAATCTGAAAATAATAATAATAATAATAATAATAATAATGGAGTAGACAGGCACACAGATGTGAAAGTCATACACCGTTGTTGTGTTTCTGACAAGGTGAGTAGAGCTAGAATTTTGAAGAGAGAGAGCGAGAGAGCAAGAAAAGACCAGAAAAGCAAAACAAAGGGAAAATGCACTTGAGCGAGAATGAAGGGATAGAGAACAACATCTTTCTAGTCACTGGTGGGTTGGGCTTCGTGGGTTCCGCCTTATGTCTCGAGCTGATCCGTCGAGGTGCTCGCCAAGTTCGAGCCTTTGATCGCCGACTCACTTCTCCATGGTCTGATGATCTCAACAATCATGGGGTTCAACTCATTCGAGGTTTTTTTTTTTTTTTTTTTTACTTTTTTATCTTCTTTATTACTCTACGGAATTCACCAAGGAGTTGACTTTGTGAAAATTTTGCCAAGATATATATTGTTCTAGGAAATTCTAAGACCATTTGCATTAATTGAATCCTATTTGTTAGATTTCTCTGCCTTTGTTTCCTCATTTAATAAACCTCTTCAAGAATTTGTGATGATTGGACTTAAAAATGTTTCATTAGAAGCATTTATTGTTTAATGTTAGAATATGTAGCTTAGCTTTCTGTATGTGTTGCAACCTGCTGAGCCGGCAAGAATTTGTGATGATATAGGGGACCTTACTCGCCAAAAAGATGTTGAAAAAGCTCTGCGAGGTGTGGATTGTGTTTTCCACCTAGCTTCCTATGGCATGTCGGGGAAAGAAATGCTCCAGTTTGGTCGGGTTGATGAGGTCAACATTAATGGAACTTGTCTTGTTTTGGAGGCTTGTCTGCAGTTTGAGATCAAAAGGCTTGTTTATGTGAGCACATACAACGTTGTATTTGGTGGAAAAGAGATTGTGAATGGCAATGAAAGCTTACCTTACTTCCCTATCGACGACCATGTTGATTCCTACGGGCGGAGCAAATCCATTGCTGAACAGTTGGTTTTAAAGCACAATGGCCGGCCATTTAAGTAAGTAAATCTCTTGCAAGAATCCTTATTCTGGTGCTCTCTAAATTACTTACTGTGTGATTCCAATTGCCAAATTTGTCCTGGGTAAAACTGCCTAGTGCCCTGGGAAGATTTATTCTTTCTTTATGTAGATGATAGACTAGGTGTGAATTGTGAACTGGCATAGCAGTAGGATTTTTCTTGGATTTTGAAGATGATTGCTCTAGAAATATGGAGTGAATTTTTTCAGTTTTGCTTTATTGATATCATCTGGAAATGATGAAATAGAAAAGGGAATAGGTTGGAAGGCATGCAGCAAATTATCAAGTTTTTGTTATAGGAAAAGAATTAGGTGAGTTGTTTCTTTGATGTACAGGAAGAACAATGGAAAACGTCTTTATACATGTGCGATTCGTCCTGCTGCTGTATACGGGCCAGGTGAAGAAAGGCATTTTCCAAGGATTGTATCCTTCGCCAAGTTAGGTCTCTTGGCTTTCAAAATTGGTGATGCAAATGTGAAAACAGACTGGGTATATGTGGATAACCTTGTGCTTGCAATAATATTGGCAAGCATGGGGCTTCTGGATGACATTCCCAACAAAGGAGGGCATCCAGTAGCTGCTGGCCAGCCATACTTCATATCTGATGGTAATAACCAAATCATTTGCTTTCAGAAAATTCTTCTTTACAATTCGATACAACAACGGCAATCAAATTATTTTTTCTTAAGACTCTTTCTATTCCTTAATATTATTTGGCAGCACGAGATGAGTTGTCTTTGATAAGATATGATCATGCTTACTGTGGAGGAGGAGGAATTAAGGATTTAACCTGCTACTTTTACAGGGTCTCCAATCAACAGTTTTGAATTCCTCCAGCCACTGCTTAGAAGCCTGGATTATGACCTACCAAAGGCTACTTTATCTGTCCCTCACGCTCTTATTCTGGGAAGGATTGTCTCTGCTATCTATACAGTCTTATACCCATGGTTGAATCGATGGTGGCTTCCTCAACCGTTCATCCTTCCTGCTGAAGTGTACAAGGTTGTTTCAAAATATCATGTTTTTTTCTTGACAATGATTGACCTATGCATCTCTAGTAGTCTGGTGGCATGCCTGGAACTCGTGCTGCAAATTAGATACATATCTCGCCACATGTTTCTTAATCTGACATAAAAAGTGGTTCTTTTTTCTTTCTACCTTTTACAAGTGTAAACAGCGTCACTCATTTTCTATGAAAATGATTAATTTGATTGATGTGCCTGCTGCTAATTTTGCAATCACCATATTTGCTGAATCTAGTGTGCTTCGAGCAGGTTGGTGTGACCCACTACTTCTCATTCCTAAAAGCTAAGCAGGAGCTTGGCTTTGTTCCAATGGTGAGTCCTCGGGAGGGCATGGCTACAACTATCTCATACTGGCAGGAGAGGAAAAGGAAAACTGTGGATGGTCCTACCATATATGCATGGCTCTTTGTTGTCATTGGAATGATTTCGTTGTTCGGTGCTGCTTACTTGCCAGACATAGGACCAGTGCCACTTTTAAGAGCCGTTGCCCTTTTCTTCTTTCGGTCAATGTGGATGATTAAAGCGGTGTTTGTTTTCTCTATAGCAGCACATATGGGTGAGGCTCTTTATGCATGGCTTCTGGCAAAAAGGGTGGATCCTGCAAATGCAAGAACATGGTTATGGCAGACGTTTGCTATGGGGTTCTTTTCATTGCGCTTGCTGTTGAAGAGATCCAAGAGTTAAAATGTTGGCATTAACCCATGTACTTCTGTACCGTTTGTCATTGAAGATCACTTTTTTCCCCTTTTGTGGGAAGCAGCGAGCGCAAGCTTTGAGATATTAAAAATCTAGGCCTATTAGTTCGTTTTAGAGCTTCAAACTGTCGACTAAAATTCGACCAATTTCAATTTTGATCTGTTTAAACTGCCAAATCACTCTTAAATCAGGCTTGAACTTGCTCCCAATGTTGCAGATAAATATCATACTTGCCTTGTTGCAAAAGCAAAGCGGATTCAACTGAAAATTCCAAGTTGGAGCCATTGTTCTCTTTTATTTATTGAGAAAGTTTACAGAGCTATTTGCTGTATGTGTTGAGGGTGTGCAGTCCCCAGAGAAAAATGTGCCGATCGACAGAAAAACGCAACCACAAAAGTAATTAAATTGAAGAACAGTAGGGAGAAGATTGATGGACATGAAAATTGAAGAACATAGGACAATCTTAAATTAAAACTGCCACCTGTACGGCCTTGATCAACAGGCAAACAAGGATTGATATCCATTGCATATGGGCAGTGATAAGAGAAGCAAGAAAAAGCCTACTACTACTATAAGCCAACACAAGTCAAGCTAATCATCTCAATCTAAAGCCTTCTAAACTTGAGAGCAATACACCGACTTCAAAGCCTCAGCAAAGGAAACATCTCACTACCTAATTGGCACTATCCACCAAGCAATAATACTATGCAGGAAAACATTCTGTAGTCTTATTTTACTAACAGATGACTTCAATTACAAATGGGACTCCAGATCTCGTTAGAGCCCACGCCTACTCCACAAATTAGTCAAACCCTAAGCTAAAAGGATTTATTTCCATGGCATGTTTAACATGCCTTGTGGGTTACTGTTATTGCAGGCTCCAGTGCTCTGGTTCAGTGGACTACCAGGCCCACCTGACGATTCACTGAGAGTCCCACGTGATGGCGGGCTGCTAACCCCAGTCGATCCACCTGTTGGAGGAAGCTTTGATGTTGCAGACGAAGGTTCCATGTGGTTTGCTGACTTTGATACCTTGCGACCACCTGAAACGAAGCTACCCACAACTACCTGCAATGGTAAAGATGGCTCAGTATCATTAGCTGTTACACACCGATGCTGGGTAAAGAATGGTAAGAAAAGCAGCATTCTGGATTTCAGGTAGTATCAATGAGCTCAAGTGCACGCTCGCACACTCCGAGATATTGCCTAACAAGTAACCATAAAACTATCACAAAATGACTGATAGTGAATGCTATATAACTGCATGGAAACTTCAGATGAAAATATCATGAAATGCACTACTATTGAAAATAACTTTCACAAGATCAATTATTGATGGAGGTAAAGATAGACTGCTTAAAGTTACAGTGAAATTGTCTTCAGAATTTCCAGCCTGTATGTAGTTGACAAACGAGGTCATAAATTTGTTTTGCTTTGGAAATGTTCAGTGGTTGATATTTGCATTCCAAATTGGAAATTGAATTCCATCGTTTGGAAAGAACATCTGGAGAAAACTGAGGGGCAGAGGAATTTATTGCAACTCCAGTCTCAAATATTCTTGGTGTCCCACAAAATTTTGCAGAATTACAAGGAAAACCCAAAGGTAAAGCATAAAATGAGCTTCTAGGTGCATGAGTATAGGACATACTTGGATGAGAGAACAACATTTCCTCAGTTCCCCCAAAAATTGACATTATAAAACTATAATAATAAGAGAACAGCTAATTGACCTGTACTGGGGCTGCAGCGATTAGAAGACCAGCCACACTACCACCTAGCACCCGACCATCTGGACCAGATAAACACACACTTAAACCCCCAGTCCTGCTCCTTTGACCCCCATTTTCTGACGGCAGGTATGAACCAGAAAGTGTCAGAATTTCAAATCTTCCCTGCATTGAGAAGAGCAAAAAAATTCAAAAGAAACAATGAGTGAAGAATATGGCTAGAAGTGGACTAGATCACTATCAGCAATGATATGATTACCTCCACTGCTCAACTGAAACAGCTGTACATGAAAACATATAAAAGCTATTAACAAGTTGGGCAAAGTGGCCTACAATGCCATAGTAACAACAGGCAAATTTCCATAAAAGTTTGCAGCTATCTATCACCCACTCATTCTCAAATAAAAAGAGTATTTTCAAGAGAAAACGAGGAGCAGCATTAAATCTAATTAAAGTAAGTCCTTGTGAGCATGAATCCTCTACTTTCATGAATATGAATCATCGAAGTAGCATATAAGTTGGGCGAGATTTCGACACTGCAAAACTGATCCTTACTGCTAACAACCCAGACATGTTTTTATGCCTTCCAACAGAGAATCAAATCAAATTATCACTTTGAACAAGAACATTAAAATCCCTATTGGCACTCACAGATCTCAGTGTCATTGAGCTACAGCTTCACCTTTCTAAGAAGATATGAGAAATTTTTTTAAATATTATTACTATTATTCTTGGACATTTTCTGTTGACAGGAAATTTAAACAGAAGTTTTGCGATGTCACCCACCTCATAAGTTACAGTTCCTCCAGATGTGGCCTGTTGGCGAAGAGTTACATTAGATATGGCACCATTTGCTGACAAGATACAAACAGCCCTTGGACCATGCTGAGAAAATGACATAATTTTTGACGATACATCCTTGAAAGGAATAAAATGAAAGTCAAGCACCAATTACAAGATAAACTACTTACTGACAAGCATAATTATAACAACCCAAGAACAACAAAACAATAAGTCGGATAGAAAACCAAACTGTTTCTATGGCGAAATAAAAGCTATAAAAAAAAGTTGGAAAGAAAACCAAGCTGTTTCTATGAAATAACAATGGCATGAGTTTCTATTAAGATATCAGAAGCACAATCACTTGACATTTAAGCAGAATTTAACAAGTCAGCACTTGCCAAATCCTCACCTCACATATCAATGGAACAAGGCTGATGACCAATGTAGTTTTTATTCTCATTTCAACAAATATGTCACCCACTAAAGCAAACACAAACGATGACTATTGAACTAGCTTAAATTACCTTCCACGAAAGTTTCCTTTTTATGTAGTTTACAATTGTCCTTCCATCATTGCTACACCGATCTAAGTTACACACTTGCGTCTGTGCATTGATTGATCAACCACAAAAAGAAAAATAAAAGGTAGCAATTTATTTATTTATATATTTTTTTCAAATTATTTAAAGGCATTTCAGACCACTTTCATACATATATTTACTGAGAAAAGATACATTTTCAAAACCTTTGATGAATTCCTACACGGTATCTGAACTTCTATGATTTATCAGAAACAATATCAGGACAGAGAAGTTATCACAGTACATGTCATGATGCTATTAGCTAGACAGAGATGTTCAGGCTTGTATGAAACAATTTCTAACAAGGGAACTGCCTAGTAAAAAAATTGTATGAATGCGTGTGTTAGAACCTTCAACTTAAGATTAAATAGCAACGTCTAGGTTCCCTCTGCCATAGGTAAGTAATTAATGTCCCTTTGCATTAAAAAAGGATGTAAGAGATTGCCAAAATTGGGTTCTCGGACAATCCAGTAACTTCCAGCACGAGTAATTATTAACAACAGACACCTGGAATTCGGTTTCTCACCCTCAAACCAAAATAACAGGGAAGGATCGTTTTGTGGTGAAGAGAAGGTACTTGAAAAGGAAACTGCATTAAGCAATCCTAGAGTTACTTGATTTGAATATTATGAACCGAATGTACCTTACCACTCTTATGGTTGCAATACTCAAAGCCAGACTACACATATCCATGATAACACAGCATAACACATGATTCCATGAACTCTTTCATAAAAACAAGATGAAATAAGGGACATCTAACTGAAATACATAGTTATTTTATATTCAAATTTACAAGCATGCCAGCATTTTTCTCTTGTTCTTTGGTTTTAGGAGTAGGGAAGGTTGATTATCCTAATATAACATCATGCTCACATTGACGGTGTAGCTAAGGTTACATCGTATTGTTACACTGCTCGGTTTAGCATATAACTCTAACCAACCATAGTAACTCAAAGAATCTCAAGAAAACCGGTGCCTAGACAAAGTAAAGGAACCAGTTTTTGGAGAAAAAAATTTAAAAGATGAGCAAACGATCCATGCTTTAATCATTACAGTTAACTTAATCGGAAACCGACGGCACAAGTGGAAGAAACGTATGAAAATAAATGCTTACGGGATGTTAGTGTGGATTATAAGTGATAATATTTACACTTGCTAGGCTCCATAATCTAAGCAAATAATAATTCAAAAGAACTTAAGTCATGGTATGCCCCAATTGCCTATAAACAAAAAGGATTGTGGTGGTCATGATGAGTTGCAACAACAAAGATTTACCTGCCAGAATCAAAAGAGCAAAATGAAAAAAGTAAAAAAATTAAAATATAAAGGACAATATAGAAACCTCTCCAGCTTTCACAGTGATAACATGTGGCGTAAATCCAAACCCAGCTGATCCTGCAAAAACAAACATCTCTGTGATCAAAAAATAATTACAGTACAGTATTCATCTGAAAATGAAAATATCTCAAATTAGAGATAGTTGAAAACATAGTTAGAAACAACTCTTTATTTTTTTTATTTATATCTTTCATTAGAAGAAAATGAATAAGAATTCACCACCAATAATTTTGTAGGAAATTAATGAACTTACTTTCCTTAAAAACAAATCATCGGTTTTTGCCATCATCTTGGAAGAGAAGGAAAAACAGTAGATGAAACAAGGGGTCGACAAGTAATTTAGAGACATAAATAAGACGAGTGAGATGAGATGAGAAGAAAGGGATCCCAAGTTCCAGCACAACCCTCTCCTTTTGTAATTTTAAGTTTTAACCCTACACCCATTAGAGTAAAAGGACTCTGTCCTTAATATTCTTATTCTTTACTTCTTGCATCTCAGCAACAGCGAAGCCAACAAGACTGACCAAAACCATACCAACTCTACCACACGCACGCAGGTCACAACTCCTCCTCCAACTGTCCCAAAAAAATAAAAATAATAATAATAAAAAAAAAAAGCTGGACCAACGAAAAACATTCATTCTGATCGCACCACGAGACTGACAACTACACCACCTATATTTGATGATTTGCATTTTGTTTTTAATTAAAAAAAGCAATTAATGTTTCCATATATAAATAAATTATAAATTGATTTGTTAAAAAAAACAAATTAAGTAAATATATACAAAGTAATAAGATTTACTAAAAAAAGATAAATATAGCAGTCATTATTCGTTACCCAGAGCAGCAAGTTGATGTTTTTTGCTAGAACCAGGAGGTCTGCCTCTGGCTTTCTTCACCCCACTCGGCGACACGGATCCTCCTGGAGTAGCATGAGGAGGAGGAGAAACAACACCAGCAGCGCCAACGACACCAACCTCAGACGCAGGCGGTGGAGGAGGAGGAGAAACAAGAGGCTGAGCCTGAGACGGAGACTGACCTGGAGGAGAAGAAAAACCACCACTCCCAGTGGCAGTACTTGTCGGTTGGGTTACAGCAATAGACAGAGGTGCAGAAGCAAGAGACAATGCCATAGTGCCATCTGGCCCGTACTTCCTTGGTCTCCCTCTCTTTCTTTTCATCGACTCTCCTCCGTTTCCTCCTCCCATATTCACATTAGTCCCGTGAGGAGATACCACGGCTCCACCACCCAATCCTTCCACGCCTCCAGGCTGGTAGGTGGGTGACGCGGCGGCAGTGGTAGTGGCGGTGGTTATCGCTTTGTAGACAGCAGCACCGTCAGTACTGAAGGCTAAACGCATGTTTTGTATGACCGGCTGTGCCTGCACCGGAGTTTTTTGTTGGAGTCCTGTAACACCAAAAGCCTCTCTGCTTGTCATCACTCCTGTCTCCGATCCGGACATCTTTCTGGTCTACTAAACTTTCCGACAACCTCTGTCCAAAAAAAAAAAAAAAAAATCACTTCGGATCAGTTAAAAAAAAAAAAAAGTCTCAAAATTCACACTTCAAAATTCAGAAAGTATAGTGACCTCAACTGAACTCTGCAAGAGAGAGGTAAGATAGTTGTTTTTCTTTTTCTTTTTTTTAAAAAAATAGTGGCGAGAGATCTTTAATTTGTCTTCAATTATAAGGAAAAAAAAAAACTAATAACTAAACTGGAAACAGAAGAATCCCCGTCAATCTAGGGGACAATAAATCCAGACAAGAATCTTGTAAACCCAAAAAAATCAAAAACCTAATAATAACTGCTAAAACAAAAAATAGGAATTTTTTTTTTTATGCCCACAGATTTTTTCCCCCTCTAATTTACAGAAAAATTGGTTGACAAGAAAATCAGGAAAGGAAAAACATTTTGCATAAACAGGAAGAAAAAAAATTCGTCATAAATTTCTTTTATTTCCAAAATTAAAAAGGAAAAAATGAAAAATAGGAAAACAAAGAAATTTATTAAAAAAACAAAAAAAAAAATCAAATAAACTTACCGATAAATTAGGAGAAAGTAAAAGAGAAAGAAATTTTACAAGGGATGGAGGAAATGAAGAGCTGCAAAAGGGATTTCTCAGGGAAATGTCGGAAATCTGAATATTAAGTTAATAATTTAATTCAAACACATATTTTTGTTTTTATAAATAAATATTTTTGGGTGTTTTCTCTTTTTCATGCCTTCTCACCTTACAGTGAGAAAGAGAGAGAGAGAGATGACTTTATTATTATTTAAAAAAGACAGGTAAAAAGTAGGCCTAAATTTGCTTTCGTACAAAAAAAGATATTTATTATATTTTATTGCATTTACTGCATTGCCTTTATTACTATCTTCACTCACCTTTTTCAAAATTTACTCTTACTCTCGCGGGTATTAAATTATTCTACTCGAGCAATTATCGATCAGATTTTAAAAAAAAATCCTTAAAGTTTTTCATGCAAGTCCATTCCTGGCGAGTAATTGTTTTATTCTACTCGAAGGTATGGGATAGGATTTATGACAAATTTGTATTTTCTTTTTCTTTTTGCTTTTTTAAGTTATCTTCAATTCATCATGTCTGAAATTTAATAATTGTTGCTTGGACATTTGTAACCGTTGGATGGATAGGTGATTAGTCTTTTTTTTTTTTTTTTAATACCTGTAAGTCACTTAGATCGATTGATTTTTAAAAAAAATTTAACATTTCCATTCTGATGTAGAGGGTTGGTGAGTTAGATGGTCCATAAAATTAATTAAACTGTATTTTTTTTAATCTTTTGGTTTTAATTTATTTAATTCGCAATCCAAGTGATCAATTACCTTAATTTTTTTTTTGGGCCCACAAAAAGTTATAACAGAAATTCATCTACATTCTTAAAAAAAAAAAATGGAGATAAATATATGGGGGGTTAATTCATCCACTTAAATAAGCCAAGTGTATTAATTGATATGATTAAATTATTTTTATTTTTATTTTTTAAAATTAATTAAAATTATATCAATTTTAAGATGATTGTCAGTTAATATTTATGGCTTGATTTAAATGGAGGGAGTACGAAATGAGGGTACTCTTGAAATGCTGGACTGCTGGAGTGTTTCTGTGTATTATTAGTTTTTTTTTTTTTTTTTGGTGCTATATAAAATATATTATTTTTTAATATGCTGGTGGGTGAAAGAATTAGGGCAATTCTGAAAGCTAAATAAAGAAATATTTCTTTAACATGAGTTATGAGAACACATGTTAATTATTATAATTAGAAGGTTTCATTACTTATTATAAGATCAATTTCTTTGCATAATTGAATAGAGTTCTAATCTGTAATTTAATATTGTTAATAATAAAAATAAAAATATTCCATTTATATTCCATTATATTTAGAGGCAAGGCTTGCTTAAGAGGAATATGTGTGTGACCGTGTGAGTGTGTGTGTGTTGGGGGGAATGCAATATTGTGAAAAAATAAAAATAAAAAAATAAATTAGTGAATTTATCGAAAAGGCTATTTTAGGATGTACAAGTTGGCACCAAATTAAAAAATAAATTAATCCGAAATTAGCACTTGCTTAACGCAGTAATTAAGACTGCCACTGTCCTAAGAATAATTATGACTAATTGACAGTGGATGCTGATCTTATCTTAGATCCTCGGTACATTGCAGAACTGCAGGTGCTTTTTTTGCCAGGATTTTTTTTTTTTTTTTTGAAAGATAAAAGTTTGTTGTGTTTTGGATGAGTAAATTATAAATTACTTTTTTAAGTTGTACAAAACAAATTAAATATTTTTTTATTTTAAAAATTAATTAAGTAGTTTTTTTATTTTAAAATCTATTTACAACTTAATAGTTTTTGTTTTAAAATTTATTTTGATTTTTTATTTTAAGAAATAAAACAGTAAACAAAATTTAAAATTGTGGGAAACAAGACATTTAATAAAAATAATAATATTAAATTAATTACATTTAATATTGATTAATGAATCAATTAATTAATTTTTGAAACGAAAGAGATTATAGGATCTGTTTTTTAAAAAAAACTAGAGGGATTAATATATAATTTACTATGTTTTGGATAGGCAGTTAGAATTTTGGACCACAATTTGGTCGGTCTGATTTTCTTTGCAACGTGATTAAAATGGAATATTAGGGACGTAGAAAAGGACAAAAGAAAAAAGACAAATGCTTTTTCTGTATGAAAAAAGATATTCCCTAAGAATAATATTCCATTCCTTTCTTCCATAAAAGAATAATTTTCTTTCTAAAATTTTATCATATGGGAGACTTTTTGTTTGCGAATAGCCCAATAGAGTTGTTCGATGATATTCACTCAATCATTTGCCAAAAAGAAAGCATTGACTTAATCATATGAAAAATCAAAATTAAGAATGGATGTTTCTAAAATATAAGACCATTAACAAAAATAACTAAAAAAAATATGGGTTGTTAATATTCATTTTCTCACAAAATCACTATTTACTATTTTTTATAATTTTAGACCATGCCATTTTTATGATTTTTTTTTGTTACTGTTGTTTTTTAGCATTTATAGCAAATTTTACATCATGTTTTATTTTAATCCTTGATTTTTTTAAAAAAAATATTTGGTCCCCGAATGGACTAAGCTTGCCTTCTTTTTTTTTTTTTTGACTTTTTTTTTTCATGCAATTTTTTTCTTTGAATTAAGTGCAAAAATTATTAAAAACCAATTGTTGTTTTTTACCTTTTTTTCATGACACACATACATCGAATTATATTATTTTTATTATTTAAATTAGATCTCTTCAATTTGTCACTTGTTATAAAAATTCTCTTCATATTATTTTTTATTCTTCTTTTTATGTAATTTTATTTGTTAATAAATATAATTTATTTTTCTTGATGTATAGATTTTTGAATAATTTTTTTAAAAAATAATTAATTAATTTTAAAAAGAATTTATTTATTTATTGTTTATATAATCAAAATTTATCGAAATCAATTTTATGATTGTTTTTATTGCAGTTTATAAACTTTAATATATTTTTTACAAATTAAGTTTTTTAAAATATTTTTAATTTATTTCGCACACTCTAACCCACTGAAAAATAGTCATGATGTATAAAACATAAATAGTTTTATTATAAATTAAATGTAAGTCTACACACATGACACCAACTATTTGTTATTAATTTTTTAAAAAATAAAAATAATTTAATTCAAATAAAATAAATAAAATAATATTTTAGAAAAAATATCTAATAATTTAAATATATTTTTTTATATTAATATTATTGATTATTTTATAAATAAATATATATAAATCAAATATACATATCTTTAAAAAGTTAGTTTTCTCATCCGTATTAGAAAACAATAAAAAGGATTCATTTGTTAAATTTTATGCAAGTTTTTATATTAACTATTGTTTTATTTCTTCAATGTAATTTTATAAAAAAATTACTAACCAATTTTTAAAAATTTTATCTTAAATTTTTTATTTAAATTATTATAGGATTTTATTTAAAAATAAATGCATGAAGAAAAATAAATCGTGTTTTTTAAATAATAAAATTCATGAAAAATATAAAAATAATAAATAAAATATAAAATTTTGATTAAAAATTATGAAATTATATAATTTTTTTTTATTTTTTATTTTATATAATCGGAAGCCAACTAATAAATTATATTACAATAGGTGAACCTTAAATATTACACTCGCGGTGATGGTGACAAAAATAAAACTTTTTCCCTCCCAATTCTCAACCGATGTAACAACACGAACTCAGCTAGAATATATGTGTGTGTGCACATGCGAGCGCGTGCGTTCAAGTGCACGCGGTCACAATATTTATTAGTAATAAAATATGAGGAAAAACTCATATGATTTACATGGTATCGAGTAAAAAGTGCTTTGGTAATTTAAATTTTTGAATTTAGATAATTGTTTTGATATAATATCCAAACTAGATTGGGCAAGTGGTCATGAATTTGAAGATCACTATCTTTCATTTCTCTTCTAATTAAGTACAAAATAATTAGGCTTGTGCAAATTTCAACCCGAAGAATTTTTACTTAAAGGAGCAGTTTAAATTTTTGGATTAAATTTTTGTTTTTTTTTTATGTGCACATTAATCCTATGTGTATTGTATCTTCCAAATAATTAGTGGATAAAGATCCATGCTAAGAATATACTTTGGAATTAAGACAAAAAAAATATAACCTCCTGTGAATTATTAGCTATCGAATCAAAACCACCCAAAAAACAACAATCATAAATTCACACGTTAGAAAAATTCATTTTATAATAATAGAAAAATGATTTAGTCTGTTATTTTATAATAAAATAAATTTTAATATTGTTAATTGAATTTATTTTATTTTTATAAAATAATTAAATTTTCAATCTATTATTTTATAAATGTTTCTATTCAAATCAACAGAATCATAACTTAATATTATATTAAAAAATATTTTAAATTTTATTACCACATATACACATAATTTATCTTTATCTTTACTCTGTTCTATTAAATCAAAACAATTAAACAACTGAAAAAAATAAAATCATAAAGGACACATGCTAGAAAAATTTATCTTATAATAATTTATAACCATCTTTTAAGGAATGAATTATTCCAAATCTTTAGATAGTAAAATCCTTTTTCAGTAGTCAGACTTTGAATGATTTATTTTCAAATTTTTAAAAAATATTCGCATCAGTTTATTTGAATTTGTTCCAGTGTATATCACTACTAATTTTTATCACGTCCACCGAAATTATTGAAATTAATTCATATTATTATTATTATTCTTATTATTATTATCATTATTATTTAAAAAAAATACAGAAAAAATGGATAAATGAAAGGTCAAAGAAGCAAAACAGCAGAAAGCCAATCTGAAAAGCATGGCGTCTATTTCGTCACTGAATTCTCTGTCTCAACGTCCTTCCCATCCCTCCTTCCCATCTTTCTCTTCCAAACTTAGCACTGACACTCCTTCAACTTGTCTAGGCAGCAAGAGACGCAGAAACCAACATGTTCTCTGCTGCGACAAGAACTACAAAGAAAAAGAAGAAGAACCACGGCAACTCAGCTTGTACCCTTCATGTCCTTTTGGGTTTATTATTATTAATGTTGCTGGGGTTTGATTGTTTTTTGTCAAATTGCTGTAGTTTTTTTGGCCTTGGAGAAGGATCATGTGGGAGTGGAACTAGAAGAAGAGAAGCTTTGTTCAATATGGCATTTAGTGCTTTTACATTGCCGGCAGCAATTGCATCTACTGCATTGGCAGCGACCGGTAATTTGTAGTAGAAAATTTTCATCATGGTTTTACAGTGATGTTTATGTTTAAGCAAATACCTTACCTGCTAAATTTCAGATGTGGCTGAGGATTTACGTGTTTATACCGACGATGTGAACAAGTTTAAGATAGCTATTCCCCAAGGTAAATTAATTCTGTATTTATGAGTAGCAGGTGATGCAAAAACTTAGGATTTTGTGGTGTGATTAAGCATGTTGTTTTAGTGTCAGTGGAAAATTCTGATGGCTGTTTACAGTTTGCACCAGGCATGAATACTAGAGGAATTTTGAGGATGACTTCTTGTTTTTGCAGGGTGGCGGGTAGGTGCAGGAGAAACAAGTGGATTCAAATCGCTCACTGCTTTTTATCCAGAAGAAGCTTCTAATTCGAGTGGTATTTATAGAAATTTTCTGTCAAATCCACCATTTAAATGATCAAAAGCTAAGTTTGTTGAAGATTTTTACACTTGTTTGGTTGCTTTAGTTAGTGTTGTGATCACGGGGCTTGGTCCAGATTTCACTAGATTGGAATCTTTTGGCAAAGTTGATGCCTTTGCTGAGTCTCTGGTAGGTTATTCAGTAACTGATTTTGCGGTGGGAAGCCCCTTCGGCAGTGCTAAATTACGGGATTTATGTATCTTGATGTTCAGGTGGGTGGACTGGACAGGAGCTGGCAGAGGCCCCCAGGCGTGGTAGCAAAACTTATAGACTCTAAAGCTTCTAATGGTAATTTTCTTGAATCTTTTGAATGAATTAAAGGGTGAGATTGGCATTGGAGTTATAATGATGAATTGATGATAAGATCTGTTTACAAGTGATAAAAAGCCTATGGTTAAATTCAAGATATCCTCCTCTCTTTTTTTCCCAATAATTGGCAGGGTTTTACTACATCGAGTATACGCTGCAAAATCCAGGAGAAAGTCGCAGACATTTGTTTTCAGCACTTGGGGTGGCATTCAATGGTTGGTACAACAGACTATATACGGTGACAGGGCAGGTGAGGCTGCATAATCTCTATGGAGGTTATGGTATTCTTTTTTTCTTCTCTGGTCTGCATCGTTTGGTCATTTCAGATTTGATGCATGCACTTTATACTGAATTCTGGCCTACAATATTGTTGCAGTTTGTCGATGAAGAATCGGAGAAATTCGGCACCGAGGTCCGGAAGGTATATCAAAACTCTTCATTTACATGGGCTCAAGTTTTTATCTTTGAAAGATTAAAGCTCCTGCTGACAACTTGGATATAAAAGAATTCAGATAACAACTAAAATGATACTGCTGTTTGGTTTTGCAGGCTGTTTCATCCTTCAGGTTCATTTGATGACATATAAACTACCTGTAAGCCAGGCTGTAACTGTATCATTCTTTTTTTTTCCCTTCTTCGGCGGCTATATGTTAAAGAATTCTGGAGTAATCACATATGATTCACATGAAAAGAGAGCTTGTTAAAAGAGCACCATGTTAGATTTGGATATGGACTCACAGCAAAGACAACTTTTGTTCTGGTCAAAGAAAGAAGATTGAAGTAATGATTTTTGTTCCGATGACCGATTTTTCTTAATTTCAAATATAATAAAAAGTATGTATGTAGGTATAGAAGTAGAGTTCAAAACTTTACATTGAAAACGAGCATTTAGAAATCTCTTTGCTATGCTAAAAATGGAATTCAAAATTCATCTAATTCTACAAATCCATTAAGCTCAAAAGTCCTCTCATAAACAAAATTCATATATGTATATATATATATAATTGAAGATAACTGTGCTTGCATTTGCTTCCACATGGAAGGTGAAAAAACTGGTCTCAGTGGTAGGGCGAGTCATGACTTCGCAATCGAAGCCAATGTCTATTCAGCTGTTCTCAGTGGCAACTTTAGAAAGATGCATTGAGTTCCAATCTGCCAGAAGAGAACATAATGTATTACAATTGCTGATTATTCTCCTCTTCACTGTTCCTCAAAAACCATGCTTGTGATCATTTTTGCTTTCATTTTTCTCAAGAACAAAACCCAATCCATTTGCTGATTTTATTAACAAAGTTTAAGGAGCTTTTTTTAGATTGCATTTGTCTGCTGATTTTTTCATCAGTTCTGGGGGAACTGCTTGAAGTTGGGTTGCAATTACTTTCATTATTTTCAACAGAGATTTGTGTTTTGCAAGTTAATGCAATAAATTGGTCAGATCCGAAAATACAATTTAATCACTCTGTATTGTATAAAGATGCTATGGTACTCATAAAACCACTGTGTGCCTAATTCAAACTGAAATTCAGCAGTTTATGGGACTTAGATTACTACATCTTGAGAGATGCGATTGTGAAATTATCTAATTGACAGAAGAAAATCTGGTACCGGATGACCAAGCATGCAATTGGTGGCAAGCATCTTGCAGGCTATAATTAGGGATGTAGCTATAGAGCAGTGATAGACCTTTCAATTCGCTGGATTTCCTTTTCTACTTCTATCATTAGTGGCCTATCTTCTCCTGAAATCGTAGGATCCACAACTTCATTGATCTGATCCTTTTCGACCAAGTCTTTCACATACTCTATCAGTAACATTCCCGTCACAGATATTGCTGCACCTTTTCCAGTAATGAGGACAAGCAGAAGCACCCCAAAGCTGTAGGCATCAGTCTTCTCTGTCACAAAATTTGTGATATAACAGTCGGGGTCCAAGAAACCGATTGTCCCCTTTGCAGAATCTTCGACATGTGATTCCCCTTCTGGGATTGATATGGCTAAGGCAAAATCGACCAGTTTGGCATCATAATGCTGGTTGAGGAAGATATTTGCAGGTTCTATGTCTCTGTGGATGATGGGCCTAGGAAATTTATTATGGAGATACGTCACTGCATTTGCTATTTCCTTGGCAATTTTCAATCTAGTTCCCCAAGGTAATGATCCATCATGAATCTGTGCATCCGAAACGTCCATTCTCTACATATTCATAGACCAGAGCTGGAACTGTGAGCTGCAAACAGCAACCCAATAACTTGAGAACATTGTTGTGGCTGCTCATCTGCGACGAGATCACAATGTCACGGTAGACCTCTTCTCCACCCATTGCATACTTCCTGACGAAGACAAAGCGTCCATCAAGAACTCCCTTGCTCCATTCGAAGTCTATGAGGCTTTGGACGTGGTGATTTTTTTGGAAATCATGTATGGCTTTTTGGAGTTGATTGACAGAGAAGTTCCTGATAGGGTTGGATCTACCATCAAAAAATGCTATCCGCTCTTCCAATAACTTAGCTCCATGATCCAAAAGCATCCTCTCCCTTCCCCTCTCGTCCATCTTTTTGTTCCCTTCAGCTTAACTGAAATGGAGGATCCCTACTGTACTAACCGTATTGTCTCGCTATTTCATTCTTTTGCACTCTCTCCTTTCTTAGTATATAACAGGAAGGTGCCGAGAAAGACAAAACTCGTGCAGCTAACCAAAGTCAAAAGAAAGACAAACTTTTGAACTTTTTGTATCCCAGCCACTGATAATAACAATAATAATAATTGAAATTAATGCTGTGTAAATTTCCAAATATTCCTTTTTTTTATTATTATAAAAAGAAAAAAAAGGATAAATTCATTAGAGATTCTATAAAACAAATTTCCAATTCTTCATTCTCATAAGACCCTCGTTGCAGTTAAATTCTGCAGAATTTCTATTTTTTCATAAATTCTTTTCCTTTTTTTTTATTTGAGAAATTATAATTACTTCTTTTAGCTCGCATTACAGTCCAATAAAAGCCCATTAATTTGCTTTTTTTTCATTTTTTCCTTAACATTATTAATAAACGCGTTGAAATTTTTATATACCAGCCACCGATAATAACAATAATAATATATTATTAATAATAATAATTGAAATTAATGCCGTGTAAATTTCCAATTATCTTTCTTTCTTATTTTTTTTTATAGTTATCAAGAAAAGAAAAAAAACATCGATAAATTCAATAGAGATTCTACAAAAAAATGCGTTCAATTTGATTAATTCAACATGTGTACTAACAATTTTAATCAATTAAACATGATTTTTAAAAATAAATGATATTTGCACGCAGTCCAAATAATAAGTAACATAGTCGATTGAATATAAATATATTTATATATATATAGTGGAACTGATATACGATATTCATACTCAATCGATTATATTATTTATTATTCAGTCTAAATATAAAAATCATACTTAATTAATCAAAATTTAAAAATGCTAGAGTTGAATTGACCGAATTGAAAACATATGTACTTATTTGTTTGGTTTATGAAAACACAGGGTGTAATTAGTATGTTTTGCCAATTTATAGTGACCTGAGAATTCCTAGAGAAAGAAAATGTGGAAGCAACATAAGGAAAATAGCTAAATACTTTGATTAATATAAAAATTGAATACATCAATCCGTTTTTGTATTCTCATTCCCTGGTTCCTCTGGTTTCAGTGCTGAACCACGTTCGTCAGTTTTTGTTATTGAACTTTTATTAGATAAAAGGCTGAGCTGGTCAGCAAAGAGAAGGTTCTTCATTTGTTCTAACAGTTGCGACTCTTTCTCCATCTGCAAATCCAACTCCTCAAAGCGATCAATCTTATCTTGGATCTCTTTCATCTGCAAGAACTTGTTATTGTTATCATGGTTGTTAAGTTGAAAAGTGAAGACGCTAACGACAAGAATCTTGTGCACCTGAACTTCTGTAATCCATGAAATTGCTCTCTCCACATCCAACTCTTCCTTCTCCAGAAGTGAATTCGCATCCAAACAAGCCTTTTCTGATGCATCTAGATTGGCGCCACCATTTGATGCAACGCCAGATTCTGTATTCAGAACACAAAAATTCATTATTTTCTGGGACTTGGATGGTCTTGATAAAAAAAAAAAATAACGGTGCTCATTATAGCAAGACTGAGTGCAGCAACTCCTGATATGCATTACATGAAAGCTATACCAAAATTTGTTTGACAAAAGCAACAAGCCTACTGACAATGAACTTCCTTTCATCATTAATTTGGGTGGATTCTATTTAACCTTGCACTTCTGTGAACCTCACATCATCGGAGTTTTGCTATGTTACCAGTTAAAGGGCTCCTGCATCATCAGGCAGCCCAATATGGACATTGACATGGAAGGATGCTTGACTAAGACCAAGTGGCTATCCATTCCTTGGATAGGATATGGATGACAATTCATAGGATTATTGCGCTCATAATCTCTAAGTAAGTTATGCAAACCCCTCTTAAAAACCAGTAGACATATTATTATATTCCCAATTGACCAAATCCTAGCTTTTTATGAAAACAAAAGCATAAAGTCTAGACAATCTATTTCACATCAGTGCACCTATCCAAAATTTTGGCATACCTTGGCGTTTTGCAACCCTAGAAACAGATCCAAAACTGCCTTTACTTCCTCCATATTCCACCTCAGTCAGAGTCGTTAAAGCTGCTTGAGCAGCAGCTTCTGCAACCTCTGTGCCCGCCAAAGCTGACAAAAAAGCAGCCTGAAAAACTTTCAATAACAATATCAGTGAATAGTTGACGTAGGATAAAAAATTTTGCATGCATACATATTTCCAAGTTAATATAACGCAAGTCAAAGTTAATTATTATAAGGGCGTGTTCAAGGGTTCCTGAGAAGGATTAAGCCAACTTAACTTTCAATAATTGTTTGAAGATCAAAGAACAGTGTCAAGAAAAATCATTGTCTTCTGCTCAAGGTGAGTTCAAGTTTTGGTCGACCAAGTGTTTCCTAAAACCAATCAAATCCAACACGCATATCTAAATCTCAAAGTTCTGTGAATTTGATTGAAAATCCATGATTCTTTTTTTGTCTGAAACATTTTTCTGTAAAAACCTTCTATCCTTTCATACTTGAGAATGATTGGAAGACCATACCTGAGCCATTATTGGGTTGCTTGCATCTGCAAGAGGCGAGAGACGTATTTTTTTACTTGGGGATGGGGAATCAATACCATTCAATCCAGATTCATCGTCATTAGAGTCCTTTACTTGGTTATACTTGTCATCAACCTCCCCTGAGTCTATATAACCAGTGAATTCCTCCCCAAAAGGAAGCTTGATGAAATGAGTAATGCAGTCCTTCTCACTTCTACCACCAATATGTTGTGCAACCCTCTTCCAGTCATCCTTATAATGCATGACGGCTTCAAGAAGTTGCAAAGTCTCTTTCTCTGTCCAATCTGTCCTTGCCTCTTCACTGATCTCCACCCGCCTGAAATCCGATGAACTGACACCAACCCGATAGTTGCCGCGTACATAGCACCGGGCACAAAGAGTAATATCATACTGTATAAAAATAGCAAATTGTAAACATTAATTCAAACCATCCATATGCCATCCCATCCATACATCTGCTCACATAAAAAAAACAATAAAAAAAAAAACCAGAACTAATTGACATTAACATCCAATTATTACATAACACAGGAACCTGCTTTACAGATCGAACCAAATATTGCACACATTCAAAATCAAGAAAACAAAGACAACATCAATTCCTAGGTTCAAAAGATCATTTTCTTGAATTAAATAAACAAAATTTCTGCCTGGTATAAAAAAAAAAAGCAAGCAATGCTGCAAATTTGCTAAAGAAGAGAAGAATTACCTTATCACAAAAGAAGCAAGCAATGCTGCAAACAGACTTACAGCCACTGCATAATCTCTTGGAATTATCCTTCATATTCGCATTAGCATCACCAGAAATCCCTCCACCACCATCACCACCAGCAGCCTGCGAAGCAGCAGACTTAGAAGAAGAATCCTTACCATCTTCCCACTTCAACTGCTTATTCAAAGGGGAGTAATTAATCAAACCCCAAGCATCCAAGAAATCGAAAACCCTACGAATGGACCCGACATCGCCAACGAGAGTCTTCCTGATTTCAGTAAAAGTGATTTTGGCTGAAGGATTCTTTCTAAATTGGTTGATTATTGAGTTCCTGTAGTACTTGTAAACCCTAGGGTTTTTCGAAGGCGATCGCGAATCGAAGAATTCCGGTAGGAATCGGACCTCACAATCGTGTATGTTGTCCCATGAAAACCACCCTATAAAAAATAAAGAGAGAGTTCAATTTAAGTTAATTATAATGCATTTATACAGGGATAATTTTGGACTTACGAGCGTAGCTAGGGATGTGGACGACGTCGGGTTCGGAGGCGGGAGGCGGTGGTTGTGGAGGTCGGGGAGTAGGGGAGGCGGTTGTGGAAGGCGGAACTTCGGGCTTGACGGGAGAGGAATGAGGGATCTTGGGTTGCAGAGATGGAGGTGCAGGTGATAATGAAGCCATGACACTGTTTACAGATGAACTGAGAGGGAGTTCTTCTCTTGAATCTGTTCTGTTCTGTTCTAGATGAAGCGACGCAGTTTGGTGTGCATTCAATAACTAAATTACAAAATGGTCCATCAATTTATTAGTACTCACACTTTATAAATGTTTGACTTCACCGCCCTTCCCTGCTAAGGATGAAGTTTCCACCAATTACAAGGCTCAACCCTTTCAGAGGGCAAATTATAAATGAGTCCCTCTAATTTTGAGAAATAAATAAATTAATTATCTTTATTTTAAAAAACTAACTATATAACTTTTTTTATAAATATTAATCATGTTTAATTTAATATTAATTTATTCACCAAAATGTTTTATTTCCTCCTCAATTGTCCATAATATCTATTTATTTATTTATTTTTCAAAACAGAAACAAATTAAAAAAATATGAAATAAATAAAAATTACTAAATAATTAGTTTTTTTTTAAGGCTAATTCATTACTTTTTTCCAAAATTATAGGGAATAATTTATAATTTATTTTCCTTTTTGAGGAAGTTCAACTAGTAACCTCTCTGTTAAAAAAAATAAAAAACCCAATAATATTCCTCTTTGGTTATCACGGTCTGAATTGGAAACATGATCCGAACTTTTCCCTTCCTTTTCTTTTTCGGGGAAAAAAATTCAAGCACATGAAATTTTATGTTCACCCATTCACAGATCCCACATTGATAAACCCAATTTCGGAGTTCATAAATCCAAAAATAAGGCAAATTGTTGAGCCACCAGAAAATAAATGGATTCTACCATACGGGAGATTTTGCTGAAAGGGAAACCAGTCCTGCACACACTTAACTTTCTTTTTTACGTAGTTTCTTCTTTCTCCTCCTTGTTGCTTGATGGGGCCAAAACGTTCCCCACCAGTGTCCAAAGCAGACAATAAAGGTGGAAGACCTTACAAGTTACAAGGTGACGACTGTACACACACAATTTTTTTTTTTTTGTTCTTTCGAAAATTAAATATAGCTGACGCTTCCCTCATGTTTTGAGGTCTGCCTTTCATATGGTCCAAAATACAAAGAGATGAAAGTCCAACAAAAAAAGAACCCTAGTACTAATATGCACAAAGATCCAATGATGGTTAAATACAATGCAGGACACCAACAGAGACACCAGAGACTACCTATGCACCCAAATGCTGGGATTGACTACTAGACTATAAAAGAATCATATGTTGATTCTAACATGTTGGTATCTTTTTACACTTTTTTATTGTTCCTATAATATGGTTGCCGGAAACCAATTCCAGCAAATCCATAAAATGCATTGCTGCTTGTTACTCGTCGTGAGCTCGGGCAGCACCATAAAAGAGTTTTTTATACACTAGGTAAAGGAAGAATATTCCGCATCCCTTCTCCACCCATTCGGAGCGACTCAGACCCCTCTTGACTTCTCTGGTGAGCATGACTATGTATGACCTGCACAACATATAATCTCTAAGATTAAAGCTTTCCATGGAATAATAACTCACAAACCACCAACACATGGCATAAAAAGTAAAAAGGGTTGATACAAAGCGAAGGGGATAGTATGTTCGTTCATAGTGTGCTTTGAGACTCACAAGAATCGTGCTTAATTTGGAGATGACAATAGGGGTGGCAATTTTCAAATAACATAATTTCTAGTACAGTGCAAGATTAGCTCTCATTTGGCGGTAAATAAGCATGCTTACAGAAAGCTCAAAGAAAGAAGTAATTTGTACCTCTAGAATGCAAAATAAATAGTTTGCAAGGCTAGATTCGAAGCCCGCCACTCAAGTAGCAGTTCCGCTGCTCTTAGTCCTGCTGCAGTCTTAAGGATACCTGAGATTAAAAAACAATCAGTTCGCTTTACACCACAATGGTGGCAGCATAGGTCTGAAAACATAGTGTCATAATCCAATGGCCGTGCAATGTCACTCACCTTGATCAGCCCCTCACCCAGTGGTCTGGTCAGAACCGCTGCCTTGGATGTACTGAGGAGAAGGAGCAGGAACAATAAACTGTGGTTGTGCTGGAACAGCTGCAGCTATACCTACAGAAAACCAATGCACTTGCCTAATCAGGTTTACCAGTGGTTGTTTCTTGATGCAACATTCGTCAGTTATTGTACAACATGTCACTTCTTTTGTAAGTTTTTCACTCTCCCCTTTATCATCAAAGGATTAAGAAGATTATTAGTCCCTTAGAGGGTTCTACTTCTTTTAGAGCCCACACCATTTTACCATTTCAATAATTTCTCTCGACACCACCCTTTTCCCTCCTCTTTCACAACTAATTTCTTCGCATTTCTATGCATGAAGTAAATTATGATACCAAAACTAACAATTGAAAATCTAGAAAGGATCAGGCATCAGCCAGTCTTCCCATGTCTTCGACATTTGCATGGAACAATGAAGAGATTGTGAACTGAACTGCTAACCTGTAGGATATGGTGCTTGAATTGATGGCATAGGCGAAGTTGTTATCGCATTGACACTTGGTCCACCAAACTGCACAATCTGATGACCTGGCACAGCATATCCTTGCATTGTTGTATAACCATGACCCCCAGGAACATTCTGACCCAACTGCCCATAAGGATACATGCCTGTGTTAACTGTTCCAGGAACTCCATATATCTGAAGGTACTGCTGGCCAGCAGCATAAGGGTTGTAAACACCCTGCCAGTAGTATGATAACAGCAATAATCAGTATAAAGTCAGTTTGGTAGTTTTAAGACGGTATAAAAACCCAAGAAACAAATACTAATTGTTGTCATTATGCACCTGTTGATAAACGTATTCAGGTCCATATGCCGCATAACTGAATAGATGAACCAACCATAGAGATGGAAAAAAGATCAGTATAGGGACAGTGTTTTTACATAGAAATCATATTACATAGAGAAAAACAACATTAACATATCATCATAACACTGAAAGAATCCAGGATTTTTCAAGAAAACTACATGATTACTTTTCCTACAAATGAGATCTCTCTCAAATACGTCCAAAGAATAAATGAATAGAGATGCGCATCAGACCCCACAAACCAATATTTTTCAGCTTATTTTCTTTTCTATATATACACTTCTAACCATGACCATGATCTTGCCTGTTCAATAAACATTGAGCTGGGGCACATATCCTCTGCAACTACCACTTTTTGCACTCCTGCAATTACCAATCACACCATGTCACATCACTGTAACTTGGACAAAAGGAACCCCCAATTCTAGGAAACTTACTACTTACTCCTAGAGCAGCTACAAATTTCTAAAGGATGTCCAATGATGTGATTGGTATGTATATGAAGCCACTTATAAGGGAGCTGGAAATGTAAAAAAGAGAAAGCGGTTGCAAAGGACATGTACCCAATCTAACTGGAAAACTGTGGCCAATCTATCAATGATTTCATTCGATTCACAGCATAGATTGATAAGTGAATGCAGAGCATATGAGGAGCAAAACAGACTGCTTCTATAGTCGAAGTTAGGGATGCCTACATACAAGTAGACATCAGCATTGCAAACATTGGAAATAGAAACTACAACTAAAAAGATCAACGATCCATCAAACAAATTTTAGTCAACTAGCCTAGAAAACAAGAAATATACAAATTGCCAATGAGCTGACATAAAATTCCATGTTGAACTCTACCAAATTCCAAACGCAACTCCTGGGAAAGTTAGAAGGTATTGGCAGGGAACAAAACAAGGTATTGCTGAAGCATTCTTAAAAAAGCCAATCAGATGTAAAATGGCAAAGTAGAATACACAACTTCAAATAACACATCAATAAGGAGGACAAAGAATAAATTTTTCCTTCACAGATCATGAAATTGAACTTGATACTTTGTGCCAGCCAATTTGCGAAGTTTTTTTATTGCAACAAGTAGAATATTACATTTAATCTGGAATGTAGCATGCATGTAACTCACCTATATGGATGATACATCAAGCCTTGTTGGTAGCCATAAGAAACTGGTTGTTGGTAGCCAAAACTTCCAACAAAACCCCTCTGGGAGTTTGCACACTTGCAACGTATGGGGCAGCCGGTCTCAGACGTCCTGTTAGAAACAAAGCAGCAAGCCAGAGGACATAAGCACAAATACAACTAGGAATCGAATCATATTGGTTTTCAATATTCCTTATCCAGTAAAATATTGGTTTTGCATTTAAGAAAAAACAAAAAAAGATACCATATGGAAGAGGTGGCCGAGGTCTCCCAAGTGAAGCCAAATTACAATTAGCCCGTCTACCATCGATAATCGGAGTAGGATCAGCACAGGCCCTCCTAGCGGCTTCTGGTTCTCGGAAAGTTACCTACACCCTCCGCACAAATACAATCCAAAAACCCACGTCATTCTCCATCTACCAAATAAAAACACACCCCATTTATCCAAAAAGGAATAAATCCAAAGTTTGACAGCTATCTAGATCACTTTTAATCATCAAATTACGCACAAGATAACCTCGATCAAAATAAAGTTAGTAAATAAATACTCACAAATCCATAGCCTTTTGATCGGCCAGTGTTCTTATCAGTGATGACAACAGCCTCAAGAATATCACCAAAGTGCTCGAAATAGCGACGCATGGTCTCGCTTTGCGTCTCCCAAGCAAGCCCCCCAACAAAGACTTTAGTATAAGTTGTATCTCCAAACGGAGAATTCATGTACTGAAAACCTGAGCTTGAACTCGATCCCGAGCTAGGGCCCGGAATCGCTTGATAAGCCATGTTAACGAATTCGATTCAATTCCAATAACAAAACCGAAAAGAGACACACACGGGAAAAAAGCTAGTTAAAATTCAAAATTTTTTTTTTTGGAAGATTCGAAGAATAAAAAGAAAAGGAAAGTAGAGAATGGTAATAAGTAGCATGCTTTAAAGGAGAAACCCTTGAAAAACCCTAGAATTATAGGAAATATACTGAGAATCCATGGAACTGTAAAGGGATCAAGAAACAGGAGTACTGTTTTAGACAAAGATCGGAAAGCAGAGTGATTTGGTTGAATAGGGGAAAAAAAAAAAAGGGAAAGAATCGCAATCACAATGAAAAGGAAGAAAGTGAAAAAAATTTAAAAAAGGAAAGAAAAAGAAAAGAAACCCTAGAGTTCAAGTGGGGCGAGGTCGGTGTGATGGTAAACAGAAAGAGAGAAAGAGGTGGGCTTCTATTTGTGGGAAAATAAAAGTTGGATGGTCAAAAATACAATACTATAGACAGAGCAGAGAGAGAGAAAGAGAAGGAGGGCACTGTGAAAAAAAAAAAAGGGAAAAAAAGTATTAACAGGAGTGAATTTTTATTGATGATGGTGGTGGTGGGTATGAAGAGATAAGGCGACGGAGGAGGAGGAGGCGAGGAGGCGGAGTCATGATCTGTTTGGCTGCTCCGAAGAAAGGAGAGCAAGAAAAAAAAAGTGAAAATGAAAAAAAAGAAAAGAAAAAGTGGACCCTCTAAACTTCTTCTCTAACTTCCAGAGTTCCCAAACAACAAAAGATAGACAGACGGACGGACAAACAGCTTGGTTGGGAAGCGGATGTCGGTCCCACCTCTTCTCCTAATCTAATCTCTAATGCGAAATACAATACTCTCTCTCTCTCTCGAACCCTAATTTTTTTTTTTTCATTGATTAAATTACGTTTGCACGTACGCTAACATTAAGAAACAAGCCCTACCCGCCAGTCCCACGAATAATTCTTAGCTACTTTTATAATATATGGTCGAAAAACATAAAAACATTAAATTCCAGTTTCTGCCCTTTTTAACCGTACCTTTAACCGCATTAAACCGACATAGTAACCGATCATTGTTCTTCTTCTTTCATGTTCATGTCCGAACTTGGAACAAAACTGAAGATTCAGCTTGTTTCAATTAGATAATTGTGCAATTCTTTTTAACATAGAAAAAGAATCTGAACTTGAGACATTCCATGCAGGAAAGATGGGTGACAATCAACTAGATGCTATGAGCTGCCATTTTTTTATGGATAAAAGAAAGGGGAAAAAAAGCCCCATTGGATAGGTAATTAAAAAAGAATTTGTCTGATATTGATGGTGACAAAGACCTTAGCACTTGTAAACCTGCCGTTTAACTGTGTAGTAAAAGAAGGTTTTTATTTTATGTTGTTAATTACCAAAATGGACTGCTATTGATTTGGTAATGACGCATGATTAATAGACGTGGGAATTGGATAAAGCTCGTGGAGACGCACGTAACGAAAGTCAAGAAAGGGACCCTCTCGCTCGCTCACCATGGACGATGCTGGTTGTGACATGCATCATTGTTTTCTATCAATCATCTGGGGCGTAGGTATGTGCAAAAACACCTAAGAGCACAAATCATGAGTGCTCAGCCTCATCATTGTAAGAATTCTTTTGGGTTTTGGTATTAGGGTCAGACAGAGGTGTTTTTCTTAAAGTGATTCTGAATAGATGTGTTGATATTATGAACAATAATTTTCGATCGATGTTGTTGATATTTTCAGGTCAAAATCATCTAAAAATACATTAAAAAAAATTAACAATAATTTGATGTATTGTGATTCTGAATAATGATTTTCGATAGTTGAATTTTTACGTTAAATAATATAAAAATAAATTAATAAACAACATTTTGATGTATAGTGATTCTGAATATTAATGCTTTTTGATATTGTTGATACTTTTATTTCAAAATTAATAGTCTAACAGTATCTAAAAAAATAATAATTTGATATATTTTTACGTGTTTTTCATTAAAGTAACATAAATAATGTTTTTTTCAGCGTTGTTAATATTTTTATGTTAAAATCGTTTAAAATATCTAAAAGATAATAGTTTAATGTATTTTTAGGTGTTTTCGATAAGGTGATTATGAATAATGATTTTCAACGTTATTGATATTTTTATGTTAAAATCGTTTAAAATATCTAAAAAATAATAATTTAATGTATTTTTAGGTGTTTTTGATAAGGTGATTATGAATAATATTTTTCGATGTTGTTGATATTTTCATGATAAAATTGTCTAAAAGTATCTAAAAATAATAGTTTGATGTATTTTTAGATATTTTCGTTAGAGTAATTCCGAATAATATTTCTCAGACATTATTGATATTTTTTTCATGTCAAAATCGTTTAAAAAATCTAAAAGAACTGTAGTTTGATGTGTTTTTAATTAGAAAGATACTTTCAAACACATAGCTACGTATTGTTACCAAACATAGCCTGTAAACTCGGATTGGCTAAAATAATGGAATGTTCGTCAAATTATGGTAAAGGGAACGTGGATGGAATCCAAGTTAGAAAGGTGGCAAGCGTCTTGTGATGGTATTTTGATGGGAACACAACTACACTACAAGGGTCACTTCACTTTCTTTGAATCTGAGCCATAGGATTGGCAATGGGCAATTGGCAATGGCAATTGATTCGTCTTCAAACCAATGGCTAGGGTTTGGGTCCAATAGGGGTCCAATACACCTGTTACGGGCCAGGATCGCTGCATTGTATTGTGAATATAAGGGACCACAGGTCCCGAAACACTTGTATATATCATGTGCTTTTCTTTCCTTTTTCTTGTGGTTCCCAAGACATACACTTGATTCACAGAGACAGGATTGCAAACAGAAACTACTTCGAAGAAAACAAAGGATGTTCTGTCCCTTTGATGATGATGTTTCTGGCACAGCAAATATTTTGGTTGCACATCAAGCCAAAATCCTTAATCACACGCACTTTAACATTAGTCTCATGTAATAATCCTTCATCGTTAACCAACGGGTCATTCAATGGAGAGAATCTATGCAGTTTTCGTTCTTTTATCATAGTTGTAAAAAGGGACACATTGCCTTCAATTTTTTCCACTAAATCCTGCGTTGTAATCTCTCGCGATGAAGAAACACATTTTGTTTCGGCTTCTGGCGTCTCATATGGTAGTAAGAGTACTTTATGAAGGGAAAAACTGCTATATACGATGTTGAGTTCCTTCCGCGTGCCAGTAACGGCTGGTTCCATCATTAATTTCTTCCTGTGGAAATGATCACAATCCAGCAGTTTATGAGCAAAAATTCATTCCAAAATAAAAGGTTTAATTTCTCCATGAAAAGGCAGATGGGCAGCCTAGTCAATCTAGAAGAGTATTTGAAATGCCTGCGTCTCCTAAATTTCCACTTTGACAACAAAATTGTCCTCCAGATCGAGTTAGCCAGTTTGGAAAGCAACTTGTTTCGAGATGGGCTAGGTTAAATCTTACCTTAGGAATAGGTATAGTACTGACAGGATGAGGTGGAAGTGGGCAAGCAACAAGGAAAGGGAAAGCCTGAGTGCATCCTTGACTGCAGTATTGAAAAGAATGCTTACTGTTATTAAGTGAATATCCAGTTGGTTAAAGTCTTAAAGATCAATGGTTATAATCTGAGACTAATGTTAACATGTGTGTGATTAAGGATTTTGGAGTGATGATTTCATAGATAATTCCTGTACGGCAAAAATATCATCATCAATGAGACAGGAACATCCTTTGTTTTCTTTGTACATAGCAGTTTGATATTGCAATATATATGTTAATATGTATGTTAAAGAAGTAGCTTAGAATATTCTTTGGTTTTTAGAAATACATTAAATAACGACGGTTGTATAATCTAATTGCTGTTAGTTAACAGATTAAAGTATGTTTATTTTCGTTATATAATGTTATAGAGAACCCAATGACATTTCATCTAAATAAGGATAATAACCATTATGTAATGATAACGATAATTATTGTTATTATTTGGTTAATATAGTTTGTTATATTATTGTTAAAAAAGGTATTTTAGATACTTTTTTAGAATAAATTTATTAAGAGTTATTAATACATTTACGGCACCAATTACTATAAATATTATTTTACTATTGTAATAAGTCGTCGTCTATTGTCACCATCACAATCATTTTAACAATCATGTCTACAGTTTAAAACTATATGGATGTAATATGAAATAAAGTTACATCAAATCAAAGTTCTTAATCACCAACATTTCAATATAAGTCTCAAATTTTATCTAATCATTGATCTTCATACAGCTGATTATTGACAGTGAATGATCCATCTTCTGGTGTATAATTATATTACAAGATAAACAGAATTAGTGAAAATGAAACTTGAAAACAACAGCTTGCAAGCTAGTCGTTTTTTATCAGGGAGCCTCTCTCTTCATAGTTCTTGATAGCATCAACAAGTGTCTCCTCCAATGACCTGTATTTCCACCCTAAATTCAGCAATTTCTCTGAACTCAACTCCATTGATGGCATCCCTCCAGCAAAACTGTCATGGGGAAAGAAGAGTACAGGATTTCTTACTAAATAAAATCATGCACGTGCAATCTAAGGATGCTCATAGTTATTGCCTTATTGGGTGGGAATTAAGCTTGATAGTTGTATATATATACCTCTTAGGGTAGTTGTAATGGGGATACATTGCCTTCAACTTTTCCACCAAATCCTGAGTTGTAATATCATGTGATGAACATATATATCTTCCCTCAGCTTCATGCTTCTCGTAAGTCAGCAAGAGTGCTTCAGCTGTATCGCGAACATCTACAAAAGCACGGGTTCCACTGTCTGCTGTTTCCCATCCACCTGTTTTCCATGGCAACAACATCATTTAGCTGGATGCCAAGGTTACTGTTTATGCACCCCAATGATACAATTCTTTAAACATGGGAGTAATGTTTGATCGAACAATACAGATCGAAATTGAGGGACGAGAATGAGAACCTTTTAAGAAGCTTAGGAGGTATAAGCCACTGCTATTCATGGTTGACTGCAACAAGGGCCCTATGATTATGGAGGGGCAGAGAGTCACAACGTTTAGTTCATTCCTCTTTGCATATTCCAAAGCTTCTTTTTCTGCTATTGTCTTGGCAAGAAAATACCATTGCTGGTGTTCGCAAATAAACTTACTAATGAGCTTACGATTGAACCAGAATACAAAATCAGTGAATATCTATAATTTTTACTGCAATTTAATTTTGGATACCTTATTTGCCTCACAAAATTCCAAGTCAGACCAAGACTCCTCGTTCATCACTTGATCCTTCGGCCAATTTGGGTTTAGCATAACAGCAGCTATAGATGACACAGCAATAACTTTCTTCACTTTGGTCTGGGAGCAAGCATTCAGTACATTCCTTGTGCCGGTGACAGCTGCTTCCAGCAATTCTTGCTGTCATAACCAGCAGCTCATCAGCAAAAATTCAATTTCAGAAATTAAAGGTGTGGACAGACAGCCTAGTCATTCTGTTCTAGCAACTAGTTTTGATGTGGGCTAAAATCTTGCCTTGGGATTAATATTGCTGGCAGGATCTGAAGGAAGTGGGCAAGCAACGTGAAAAACCCCGGAACATCCTGTGATTGCAACATATAGACCTTCATAATCTAGCAAATCTGCCTTGAATAGTTTCAGATTCTCTGTAGCGTTTTCCAACTTCATCAGATGTGCGTTCTTATCATCACCTTTAAACAGGTTAAAAGAAATGAAAAAGATTAAAAACGACGACAGTTCTAGGCATTCCATTGCCAACAGACCAGATAACTTTGACAAATTAATAAACTCGACGTTTTTAGCAGTCAAATGAAAACTAAGAAGAGACTGTCAAAGGAGTTACTTGGGTCTCTCACAGTTCCATGCACCGTATAGCCCTCTGAAAGAAGAAACTTTACTAGCCATGATGCCAAGAACCCTCCTGCACCTGTTACACACACAATTTTTTCTGACATTTTTCCTCTCTCCCCCTCTCAATTTACTTTTACTTCCAGATTCTGAGTCACAAGTCTCTTATGGATGCCTGCAGATATTAAAATGTTGACTACAAGTAACAATCCCAATCCAGAAAATGAAATGAACACTACTTTTCTGCTTATTGGTGGTCAGTATATTACATATATAGTCAATCCAGAAAATGAAATGAACACTTCTTTTCTGGATTGAGTATATATGTAATATTCTGACCACCAATAAGCAGAAGAGGAGTGTTCATTTCGTTTTCTGGATTGAGATTGCAGTCTAATTTGGCAAATGTTATCTATCCTTTCGTACTTGACTTAGGCGTTGACCGGCGTCCACCAAATTATTCTATATTACACCAACTAAGACTGAGTCTGATTCTACAAAGCTTTTCGGTGAGAAATATGAGCCTTCCAAAACCATTACAGCTGCAATCTACTATTTCAGTCGAGCAATGTTCGAAACATATCAGTAAAACTTTCTCATATGGAATATTACAGACTATGTACTACATAGACATCGATGACAAGATCCACAACCAAGGAGAGAAAGAAACTGTAAATAACCAATTAGCTTGGTGATTATGCTTCGGGATCTCAGAATATGAACTGGAAAAACCCTAGGATACAAGGCAGTGTATATATCTGCTGTACATTTTAGGATGACTTTTATTTCTCAGCAAAACCAGTAGGTTAGACTTTACTCAGGAGGCCACTCTCTTGATAATTCCTGACAGTATCGGCAATAGTCTCTTCTATGGACCTGTACTTCCATCCCAAATTCTGCAACTTCCTTGAACTCAGCTTTATGTCTTCTTCTACTTCAATGAAACTGTAAAGACAGTGGAATTAATAATATAGAATTAAGAAAACAGATGTAAACTAAACTGTGATTCGGTTTCTCTCTACGAACGAGAATTACCCTTTGGGGTAGTTGTAGTTAGGACATATGCTCTTCAAGTTGTCCACTAATGCATGAGTTCTGATCGAATATGATGTGCATATGTATCTTCCTTTTGCTTCTGGTTTTTCATATGCCAGCAGAAGTGCTTCTGCCAAATCGCGTACATCTACAAAGGGGCGATCTCTGTCTTCCAAAGATTCATGTCCATCTGATTTCAATGTCAATCCCATTCAATAACACCAGAAAATCTTACCATTAGTTTGTCTGAAAAAATAACTTTAAGCATATCGTTTCTGTTGTTTAAATTCTATAGCTTGGCCTTAAAAAATGGCCATCAATGAGATCCTAGCTTAAGAAAAATCCTTTCAACAACGCCAGGAGAAATAAGCTACTGGCATTTAGGGTAGACTGTAGCATTGGTCCAATAACAATGGATGGACAAACTGTTACCATATCAAGTTCAGTTATCCTTGCATACTCCAGAGCTTCAGTCTCTGCTGTTGTCTTGGCAAGGCAGTAGTAATTCTGGCATTCAGATAGAAAAAGGCTTCATATCCCAACAACAAAAACAACAAAGAAGATGAAATTTTTGCCTAAAACAAAATATTGTAGTTAAAATCCGTCCTTTTTCAGTGCAAATGCAAAAAACAGGAACTTGGCATTCCCTGAATACACCATTGACAAAACTGGAAAGTTATGATTCTTCTTTTACTAGGATCTTTTCACCTATGCTTTGTGCATTCCGCCAGCTGCTTCATAGATAAAAAATAGGACAGAAAGTATAATTTCCCTTTCCATTAAAGCAATTAATCTGAGAACAGTCATGATATGATCTTTGCTGGAGTCATGGAAGGCCTAGTGAACTAGAAAAGATACCCCAATTGACTTGCAGAATTCCTTGTCAGACCAACAATCTTCATTCATGGCCCGATCTTTTGGCCAAGTTGGGTTGCATAAAACAGCTCCACAAGTTGATACAACCACAACCCTTTTCACTTTCGCCTTCAAACATGCATTTAGTACATTCTGTGTGCCAAATACAGCTGGTTCCATTATTTCTACCTGCAAATAAATTGCCATATAAGAGGGTAAGAGATGCATGGCAAGATTAGGGAATAAGAGCCAATTAAGGGAAGAAACAATTGGAAAACTGAAGAGAATTAAGATCTTGCCTCAGGATTAGAAAGACTTCCAGGAATAGGGACAGGGCATGCAACATGGAAAACTCCAGTGCACCCTGAAATAGAAGCACAAAGACCTTCATAATCTAACAAGTCTGTCTTGAAGAGTTGCAAGTTTTCTAAAGATTTTTCTAATTTCTTCAGATGAGCATTCTTTTTGTCACCTGAAAGTCATATCAGAGAGTGAAAAAATAAATTAGAAATTAAGAACTCAAATCTATCAAAGTCTACTAATTTGATTTCTCTTTCGCTTATCCCAATCAAATGGACACAGCAATTCGTCTATAGCACTCCCAAATACTGAATATATCAGAATCAAAACAATCCTTTCCAAACGATATTTTCTAGTAGTTTATAGAAAAGGAATGCTACAGGAAAAGAGTAAATTTGGAGATGAAAGAAATTACATGGATCTCTAACAGTTCCATGGACCTTGTATCCCCTAGTAAGAAGAAACTTTACGAGCCACGAGGCTACATGCCCTCCGGTACTGGTGACGCAAACTCTTTCCTTCTCTTCAACTTCTCTCATCTTGTTTCTCTCAATCCATTACTGTTTACAGCCAGCTTGCTGATATCATAAACCATTCGGTGCCTACTGCCAAGAGGGCATCGAGAAAAGAGAGCACATGTCACTTGGAGGTTGCCCCCAAACCGCCTTGTTTTGTCAAGTCAAATTTAACAGCCCTATGTCTTTGTTTGTTTCTCTGTTCATGGATATACTTATATAGTTATTTTTTTACCCTGAAATTTCCATTTCTATCAGTAGTTCAGCGTCCACTCCTCCATCCAACTCGTGAGAAACGAAACAAAGTTCACCCAATGCAGAATCTAATTCACATGAATTCTGTATTCTGGTCACGCTTTCTAGAAGCTTTTGTGCCCACTTGATTTACATGAAACATGAGTCATAAAAAGAGCCACAAAAGTAGACAAACAAAACTTCCCACGAGAGCATTACAAGGCTGAAGTTAACAGAAGAGGCTTCTCTACATTTTAATACCTTTCCAAGATGCCAATTTGAGCATAAACTAAGCCATAATAACAATCATTGCAGAATGATCATCGACATGACCTTCCAACATAACAAAGCAATAACATGAATTTTAGAATTCAGTAAGCTTTATGTAAATGTCATGTCAGTATGAATCATTGACACAAAATGCTACCAATACACATTTATTAAGCCAAATGTTCTCTTGAAGAAACATGAGGATAAGATGAAGTGTCTAGTTTGTTTGATTAATCCAACAGTCCATTCTTCCGAAAGCTTTCCACGGAATCAATAAGAGTTTCCTCCAATGGACGGTAGCTCCATCCTAGCCTCTCTAACTTTTCTGAACTCAGCTTTATTCCTCCCACTGCGTCAGTGAAGCTGCCAGTGCGAGCAGATTAGTCATATTAACAAAAATAGAGCAAATAAAATCATAAATAGGAAATCAATGCTTTTGTAATTGAGGGTCAGTGCGTAATATCATCTACAAAAAGAATCACAATAGAATGCTTGTGAACTTGAATAAAATGTATGGTTGAGCATATGATCTTTCAAGCTACTTACCTTTTAGGATAATTATAGTTAGGATATATATTTCTCAATTTCTCCACAATATCTTTTGTTCTGATTGCATGTGACGTGCATATATATCTCCCTTCTGCCTCGGGTTTCTCATATGCCAAACGCAGTGCTTCAGCAACATCGCGAACATCTACGAGGTGCCGAAGGTTGTTTTCCATTGACTCATACCCTTCTGCATAAGCATGTCATGCAGAACACCAGTGAGCAATAAGAACATGGTATAAATGCTGCTTCAGAATAAACAATAACTAAGATTCCCACTAAACTAACAAATGTATTTGTATTTTGACCTAGGTGGCGAGTTACTGGCAGTGAGGGAACGATAAGCCACTTTTACAGACTACACTAGCGATGTTTTAGATTAGATATTTAAGTGGTCCAAGCATGAAAAACAAAAGTATCATCAGTCCAAACTACAGGGTCACAGCCACTGGCATAAATCGAATCGGAGGTAGTTTAGGTTAAAGCTCCAACAATGAATTAAGGACCGATTTTATTAGGAGTATATTATATTTTATTGTTTATAGAATTTCATTGTGAAAAATCATCACAAGTACACTAAAAAAGTAGTCTGTGGATTACTTGTGTATAAAGATGACTATTAACATGCACGCATAAAATATTGCAAACTGGGTATGGTACCAATAGCTACCTTTCAAGAGCTTAATAAGAAACTTGCTACTTGCACTGACCGCAGACTGCAGAATTGGCCCCTGAATGAAGGAAGGACAAATTACTACAACATCAAGCCCGCTTCTTTTTGCACATTCCCAAGCTGCGCTTTCTGCTTCTGTCTTGGAAAGACAATACCAGTTCTGGTACAAGAATAGAACAAGAGATTATAGTCAACAAGGAAAAAACTTAAAAACATTGGTGGGTTTAACTCTCATTGTATAGAACATAATTAATAAAGGTAGGACAACCAAATTAGCAATAAAAACTAACTTCAAAGTTATTCACCTTAGTTGTTCTGCAGTATTCCTTGTCAGACCAACAATTCTCATCCATCACTTGATCCTTGGGAGAGTTTGGGTTCATGTACACTGCAACAACAGAGGACACAACCACTACTCGCTTAACCTTCGCTTCAGCACATGCTTTGAGCACATTCAATGTGCCCTTTACAGCAGGTTCGATCACTTCTACCTAAGATCGTGACAAGAACACATATTTAATCACCATCAAAAACACTGATAGGTGAACATTCTGCTTAATTCGAGTGATTATAATGAGAGGGAGAGAGAGAATGTGAAGATTGGCATGCTTGCCTCAGGGTTTGGCACTGTGGTGGAGGGAACAGGACTGGCAACATGAAAGACTCCTTGGCATCCTTCAATAGCAGAAGAAAGAGAGTCGTAATCCAGTAAATCTGCCTTAAAGAGTTTCAGATTCTCAGATGCCTTGTCAAATTTTTTCAAGTGAGCATACTTCTCATCCGCTGCATAATATTGTCAATAAATTAGTATAATTCCACATTTCCACTTGATAAAGGCTAAGCTTTTGACAACCACTAGCCGCCAAATTGATAATCTAAAATGCATCCATAGCTAGAAACCAGTACAAAATTGGATTTTGTCAATGAAATACTTAAAAGATCAGAATAATACATGAAGGAAAAAAGGGAGATCAGATCGCCAACTGGAAAATCTGTGGTGCAAAGAACAAACTACGATAGAATAAAAGAAAAAGGATAAAGAGTTCTGTAGATACCGGGTTCTCTGACAGTTCCATGGACAAAGTAGTCCTTAGAAAGAAGAAGCTTCAGAAGCGAAGAGCCCAAGTATCCTCCAGCTCCTGTCACACACACTCTCCCCTTCTCTAATGCCATTTCCAAGCGCAAGCCTCCGGGTCTCTCCTCGTTACCTTCCACACAAAACTAGAAGATCTGTTGGGTTTTATCTATTTATTAGTCTCTGACCTTTTGGCTTGAGGCATTGGCTCCTCGCTACTTATTACCACTGCCTAAGAAGATAACAGGGCCCACCAGCGAGAGGTATAAAGGGGTATTTTATTCTTTTCTGCGTCATGAAGGAAAGGGCCAACAACAACCGCTTGACAATAAGATTTGATATCAATATAAAATCAAAATGGGGCCATCGCAAGAACAAAAACTCAAACCCTCTTTTTGCAGCCGATTTCCAGACTAATATAACATGCAGGAGCTAGCTAGCTTTCACAGATGAACCCATAATTCTCTACCACCATCCAAACATCCTCCTCCAGCCTTTGTCACCCACACTCAATCTCTCCACCCAACCAACCTTGTCAGCTTGTCATTTCCTAGCTTAGGAAAAGTAAGTACATCGTGGGAATATTAAATGGGATGCGATTGTAATGCCACTTTTTTAAGTAATTTTCTCAATTGGGCAACTTGCTTTTAAAAAAAAAAAACTCTGAACGGATATGCTAAAATTTGAATCCGTGATTCTTGTTACAAGAGATATGCCCATCGGTCAACTTGCAACTTTCGTCGTTATTGCCCGAATCTTTACCGAAGCAGAGCTTAGAACTAAGTGGGAATCGTAACAACAAACATTGCTTTGGCTTGGCATGGTTCATTTACGTTGGTCGTTTCAACGACAACATAAAAAAAATGTCTTAAATTCTACGGCTATAAAAGCAGATGCTATTGAAGGAAACGCTGACGTTTTGAGACTGACTTGCGTTGCCTCATCATTTTGCACACGAGTGGTGGGGAAATTTAAGTGGGCTGGCAATCTGGCATCATGTAACACACCGGTAGATCTACATCCTACATTACTTCTTTATGGGCCTTTTGGGTCCGTTTTCTATATAGTGTGTCAACTGAAATGGCCGAGGCCCAGAGAGCTATCTGGACAAGAGCTCAGCAGCAAATAGATTTTCTTAAATTTTTTGAGAAAGAAAGCCTCAAATGAATTTTGGTTGTCTATTTATTTTATGGGAGTATTTCGTTTCAAGGGTAGAAAAAGAGAAAAGATTGCTCATAGTCATAGTGGTGACGGACAGGAGTCGGCCAATATGGAAGAGTAAATTATAAATTAGCCATTCTAGATTTGAAAAACGAATTAAACAGTTTTTCTTGTTTTGAAAATAATTATTTAGTTTTTATATTTTTTAATTTTTTTGCAGATTAATTAGTTTATTTTTTAATTTATTTTAATTTTTAAATAAATGGAATAAAATATTGAGTTCAACATATAAAAAAATGAAAAAAAAACATTTTTAAAAAATAAAATAAGACTAATTCATTTAGGTGTTGTTTGATAATAAGGAATAAAGTGATGAGAATGGAAATGCGGGAATCGGAATAATATTTGTATTCCAATACCGTGTTTGGAATACTAATAAGGAATCGAAATGCAATTTAATTTTTTTAATATCCGATTTTATATACAAATATAAATAATGATTAAAAAATAATTTTATTAAACTATAATAGTTATAAAAATAATAAAGGTGATGGTAGTAATTATGGTGGTTCTAGTGGTGGCGGTGGCAGTAATAATTGCAGTAATGATGATGGTTGTGATTGTGATAATGATATTTGTAGTTATGGTGGTGGTTGTGATGATGTTAGTAGTGATAGTGGTTGTGGTGGTGGTAGTGGTTATAATGATAGTGGTGATGGTTGTGGTTGTGATGATGGTGATGACAAAAGTAGCTAATAGATAATAAATAAATAAAATATATTATTATTTTGAAAGCAAATTCATTATCATTCTTTGTTTTTTATTCACATATCTTATGTGAAAATAAAATTATATTTAAATTTTTATTTTTATTCTTACTTTATTTTTTTTAACCAAACAACTATCATATAAAAATAAATCTTTCATTCTCTTTCCTGTCATTATATTCATTCTCCTTCCTGTCATTATATTCATGATCAGTAAACATCACCTCATAATTTACTCATACCTAGAGCTTGGCAAATAATAGACGCAAGCCGACGGGACCGTCTAGCTGTATGAAATGAAACCATGGAAAACTGGTAGAGACACGTTGAGAGTTGGTAACCGAAACTTAAAAAATTGGGAGATAGAGGGGTACGTATTCTGTTTCGCTATGATTCTCGGCTGGATCAATGTGTACTGCTTGACCGAAAGGATTTGAAAAGAAACAGAGCAGGCAGTTTGAATATATGCCAAAATCGTCGGCAATCAGATTTCTTTTCAGTAAATAAATTTCTTCAGATCCAATCCGATGGTTTTTCCTTCTTTTATATTTTTGTGATCATATATTCAATCATTATCAATTTAAAGTGATATTCAATCATTATTCAATTAATAATAATGTACATTAAATATCAGATTTCTCATCAATAAATATCTTCTCCGGATCTGTATTTCCATGTTCATTCCCTGTTGGCACTTCTTAGCTTTTCCGTTTATACTTCACTTCTATTATTCGTTAATTTACATTCTATATCATATGTATTAAGCGTTTTTAGAGTAATTTATCAATCTAATTATTATTCACTTCATAGTAATGTACATCCAATATCAAATATATTAAAGTTTTGTTTTTATTCGGATATTCTTATTTCATATTAGAAACAAAATTAATTATATTTGAGATGAAAAAGACGAGATTTAACAGTTTTCAATAAATACAATTTAAATATCCAACTCTACAGATGGATAAAAAATCTATTTACATATAAGCTCGTTTATCGTTAGGCTAACAATTTATTGATGATATATTAAAGTTTTTATTTATTGAACTGTTATATTTTTAATAATAAATTATTGTTAGCATTTAAAAAAAATGAAGAAGTAAAATGGAAACATTTTATACGTTTCTGCAATAAAGATTGTGCTTGCATAAAACTAGTAAATGGTGATATCTTTTTATATAAAATGTTAATATTTAATTTGTTTTTATATTTCAAAATAAGCAAATTATATCTTTGTATTTTAAGTGAATTTTCAATATGTCTTTTTACTAAATTTTTCTGAAAAAATGATCGAAAAAAATCACGCAGCTTACGCATGATTATTATTATTATTATTATTATTTTGAAAATGCTCTTCACCTAAGCATGCGCAAGTTACATTGTCAATGCTACAGTAACTTTGTTTCTACTTACTTCCATCAACTTTCACCATTCACCTTTAGCGTTCTCAATTTTCAAATGGATGCAAAGGCTAAAACATCGTAATCATTTAATTAGATACATCGTTGATGGACCACTTCATTATTTAATTATAATATTGTTTATGGACCCTTTTCTTCACCCTAGGCCCTACGTGGACGCTAGATGCATGGAATTTTCTAGGGTAATTTCAGCTCTTTCTAGAGGCTTTGGCCGTTCTGTTCTGTACTGTTCTGTACTGTACTGTTATTTGGTGGGGAAAGCCTCCTAAAGTTTTGAAAAGTCCGTGGGATTAATCATTCCTTTTCTAGATTTTCCATAAAGCTGTACCTAACAAGAGTAAATTATAAATTAATCCTTCTAATTTTTCAAAAGAAATTGAATGATCTCTTTAATTTTAATAACTAATTAATTAGTTTTTTTGTTTTTAAAACTATTTATAACTTAATCTTTTTCATTTTTTAATTTTAATAAAAAATAAAAAAAATATCAGTGAGAAAAAAATACATTTTTAAATAAAAATATTAAATTAACCATGATCAATACTTTATTTTACAAAACTATAGAGGAATTGATTTATAATTTACTCTAACTAACAAACTACAATTATTTATGTATAACTCTCTATTTCTAAAAAAAAATGATAATAAAGTGTTTAATTTGATCTCAGTTTCTTAACTCGAGTCCCAGCCATGTTAAACAGACAACTTATCAATTAAACTAGTTTTTGTTATCGTTTAAAAAAAGGATATGAATAGACAATTTGTTTATTTTTTCTTTTATCTTTTCTTCCCTGGTTAATAAACACAATTTTTCTTCATTCAAAATATATTAGAACTTGGAAGCATTTAGAAAGAATACAAATATATATATATATATTACCTGGGATCACAAATCCCAAGTTTGTTTATGAAGAGCATATCGAATTATATTAGTGTCTAGAATTGATTTCTTCGTATAATATTAATCGATAGAGCCTCGTGATACATCGGATCCGGCTCGGTTATTGACGAGTGAATAGATCTCGCCATTTCTTGAAATCTCTCTTCCGATTCAAAATCGTGGTGTAACGTGTCTCCTCCTCTCCCGTTTCAATCATGGAATAGATATAGAAGAGCATGACATGAGTGATTCGGCAGATTTAGATTCTTATATATCCACTCGTGTAGTACTTGACTTCATTATACCATATATAAGAAAAATCTGCAAACTCTTCTTTGTAGTTATATGTCAAAATATCAAATCTGCTCATTTATCTCTTAATGTTTATCGTTACAAGCCTCTTAAATCTTCTATTTACCTTTTTTTTTCCTTTATTTGGTATTTTTATTTATTTAGTTTTTCTTTTGGTTCAGAACCAAATGATATTTTTCAGGATAGTTTTGCATTAAAACTGAGCTCATTGCTTTGATTGTATGAAAAAAAATATATATATATATAAAAAATAAAGTTGTCTGAATTAAGAGATTAGTAAAAGTTTGCTACATGCCTACATACGCATGCTCTTATTCTAGATCAAGCTAGGAACGCTTCTTTTTTTAACCATCAGAATACCATATTCGAATTGTGTCTATTTTAATCGAAGATATAGAGCTAACAACGAAATTTTCAGTGACAACTTTAAATATGCAGAGTAAATTATAAATTAGTCCCTTTATTTTTGAAAAACTTTATTGTTCTGAAAACTAACTATTTAATTCCTATCTTTTTAAATTTTATCGTAAACTAATTGTCTGGTTTTTTTAATTTATTTTGATTTTTTATTTTAAGAAATACTATACTAAAAAAGAGAGTAAGAAATGAAAAACATTGACCATAAAAAAATAACATTTTTGTTGTAAGAAGGATTTAGTAATTCATTTGTAGAAAATAGATAGATTAATTTATAATTTACTCTATTCATATATGGTTTATTCCATCTCGTATGATTATTGTTCATTAATTAAACCTCCTAGGAATAATTTTATCCCATTTCTCCCGTGGAAAGTGAGACCGACCAATAATGGATCAAAAATTCCACTTTGGCGATGAACAGTAGATATGCTCGTCGGAATAATTGAAGGTTGGCCCAGAAATAGTTGCTTACCTGGATCTCACGTGAACCGCCGGGGCATGATTGTTTAGATTAGGAATAAACAGCACACCAAGTCCAACAGCTATTGCAAACCATAGAAGCTCAGCCAGGCCGAAAGACACCATAGGGCAGCAAGCCAGCAGCTGACACCCAAACAATAACTACAACACGGACCCACTCCCAATTTTACTCTCGTCGTTTGCCGCGAGTTAAAAAAAAATAAAAATACTTTATATATATATATATATATATATATATATATATATATATATATATATATATATGATTATTGGTTTGAAAAAGGAAAAACCAATCTTAATGAACGTTGATAGAAGATTAATCTGATAATTACAGCAAGGATGAAACACTAACTTTAATTTTTTTGTTACATATATATACAGTGTAAACAAGTTAAGTATTCTTAGCATTGTTATGAATTAAACACATGATTTAAACGGATATTGGATCCAAAATGGAGGTAGGGAGAAAGAATTAAACCCAATCCATTAATATAAATTGGCGCAGAGGCTTCATTCACACTCGTTAAACTCATGTGAGATCTTCAGGATGCAGCCCGACACGCTCACGCAAGTAGGAAACCAGGTAAAGAAAAGAGAAAGAAGCGGAAAGAAAAAAATGGACCTAATCTCGTAACAGCTTTGAGCCACTTGTTATGGTTTTTTTTTTTTTAAAAAAAAAAAAAAAACAAAACAAAACAAACGCAGACGAGTATATATCGAGGCAAATGATAAATATGCAATTTACAAATTTTTTTAAAAAATTAAACTAAAAACGTTAGTTTGATATTTATTGTCACTGTTTTCAATCTTATTCATTCATACACACTCACATGTACTATTTACATAAACTCATATATACTGTTTATTTAACTATGTGATTTTTTTTTTGTAGTTTTTAACTTTTTTAAAGATATTTATTATAAAGTTTTCGTAACATTATTCTTTGATTTTTTTTTAATATTGTTTTTTTATTCATAAAATTTTTTTATTTTATTTTGACCCCTCTTTTTTATTTCATTTTGATCCTTGTTTTCTTTTTTTCTACTTTTTTAAATTAAAATTTCAAGATAAATAGATGTTTAGAAAAAATAATTTACAAAATAAATTTTTTTTATGATTTATTCATCTCACACAGACTAAAACCATTTTAGATTTTGTAATACTTTTTTTTATTAATTACTTTAGATTCTTTTATTTTCACGTAAAGACTGTTTTTTTTTTTAAATAAGGACGCAATACATATTCATGAATTTCTATAATTAGTACTGTTTTATCTCCTCAGCACTCCCAAATAGTCTGATTTTTTCTTTACAGAGATAAAAAGCCAAAAAAATATGGATTTTAATTTCTATTTTAAAAATATATAGTTTTGTATCTAATGTAGATTTATGAATAAAAACTGGTGCATGAGTGCTTTTATTTGAATATGACGAAGAAATAAATATTACTCTACATTTTTTTTTGGTTGATAAATGAATATTACATCAGTTTATACAAAAAAAAAAACCCTAGTTTATAATAATATTCATAAAAATTATATTATCCATTATAATATACTATTTTTTTCTTTTTGTGAGAACGCAGTAGTACTAAACTCTTGTCTCGTGCTCCATCCATCCCATACTTAATAGCCTTCACAGGTCTAGAAAAACAAAAAAGCAAGAAAAAATTAATTTTGATAAATTTTTTTTTTTTAAAGTTTTGTTGAAGTAAGATTTCAAAATTTTAGTTTTAGAAAAATTAAAGTGTATATTTTTATGCTATTTTATTAATTTTTATCTAACATAATATTTTTTTTAAAAAAAAACTTGGTCTACGATATCTCTATACGCTATCTTTTATTTGCTGTAATACTGACGCGACAACGGGAGTCAACATAGAAGTAAACAACAACAGACACGTCACTGACACTACACGTGTCGTCACGATTTTCCCTTATAAAATTCTCCTGATGTCCTCAATTTACGCTCAACACGGCCAATACACGCAGGCACTATAAGTTTATAACGACACAACCAAACTTCCCCTCTCCTTTTCTCTCAATTTCAATTTAAGGGGAAAAAAAACAGAGAGGAAAAAAGGGAAAAAAAAAAAAAACAGAGAGAAGTAGAAGGCAAGCTCAGTTTAAAATCTTCCGCCGGCATATACGGATGGACACCCGCCGCCGGCCACCTAAACCCCCAAGCACCACCTCTTCTCACGAAGGTGGTCCTCACTATCTCCAACGAAAACGACTTCCTCCTTCTGTCGACAATCGCTCCCCATCACCGACACCAAAAGCATCGGACGCGCTTCCGCTACCTCTATACCTAACAAATGCCATTTTCTTCACGCTTTTCTTTTCCGTAGCCTACTACCTCCTCCACCGGTGGCGTGAGAAGATCCGGAACTCTACGCCACTCCATGTCGTTACTCTTTCCGAAATAGCCGCCATTGTTTCCTTAATGGCTTCCTTTATCTACCTTCTAGGATTTTTTGGAATCGATTTCGTCCAATCATTTATCACGCGCTCTTCCCATGACGCGTGGGAGTTGGAAGATACGGATAATTCTAACTTCCTAATCGAAGATCACCGTCTTGTTACTTGCCCTCCTCCCGTAAATATCGCTCCCATTCCCAAATTACCCAATCCTGAGCCAATAATTACACCTTTAGCCTCCGTAGAAGATGAAGAAATCGTTAAATCTGTTACAGAAGGAACACTGCCTTCTTATTCGCTTGAAACAAAGCTCGGTGATTGTAAACGAGCGGCTGTGATTCGACGGGAGGCGTTACAAAGGACAACAGGGAGGTCTCTAGAGGGTTTACCTGTTGAAGGATTTGATTATGATTCAATTTTGGGACAGTGCTGCGAAATGCCGGTGGGTTACGTACAGATTCCGGTGGGGATTGCCGGCCCTTTGTTGCTGAACGGGGAGGAGTATATGGTCCCTATGGCGACGACTGAGGGTTGTTTGGTTGCGAGTACGAACAGAGGGTGTAAGGCGATTTACGCCTCCGGTGGGGCTACTGCTGTGTTGCTGGGAGATGGAATGACTAGAGCTCCTGTTGTTAGATTCGGGACAGCGAAACGAGCATCGGAATTGAAGTTCTTCTTGGAGGATCCTGATAATTTTGATACTTTGTCCATTGTTTTTAATAGGTCAGCTTTCATTGGATTCTCTTTCCTCTTTTATGTTGTTTATGTGTTTTAGATGTTTTTGATGTTGATGGATATCTACTATGCACGTATGTAGTTATGGGGGTAAGGGTTTTCGGATGTTCTATGTAGTTGCTTTGTTTAGTTAACAAGAGAAAGGGATACTTGAGTTATGCAGGTTGTAATAAAAGGAAAAGAAAAGCTGTGAAAAAGTTGAATTTCCATTTTTGACAGCTCCCTACTTTTTAATGATGATTCAGGTCAAGTAGGTTTGCGAGGCTTCAAGGATTTCAATGCGCTATGGCTGGGAAGAATCTTTATATAAGATTTAAATGCGGTACTGGGGATGCAATGGGGATGAACATGGTCTCTAAAGCGGTTCAGAATGTGCTTGATTTCCTCCATAGTGATTTCCCTGACATGGAAGTTGTGGGCATCACTGGTAATTTTCTGTTCTCTTCTGAACTACACACACAGGCAGCATTTTGTGAAGTTGCCTTTGTCTTGCAGTTTTTCTTCAATTATTCTCTGGTGTTGACATTGGTTAACTATACTTTTGTCGTTTAAGAGTCTATTGCTTGATGGCCTTTTGTTTTAGCTTTTGCTTTTACTGGACATACGTGTATGTTCTGTATCTCAAAGTAGTTGTTTTGAGTGTGAACATATATGTAGTTCACAAACATCTTTTGAAAAAATTTGGAAAGGTGGCGGTGGTCGGTGTCTCTTCTTTCTCATACATCTTTCTTTTAAGTCTCTGTTTTTTTTTTTTTTTTTTCATTCATTATTTTCTTTTACCTCGTCTCTCTCTTCATTTAAGGTTTAAGTGTCTTCTTGGTGTCGATAGAAGTTCATGGAGTTTGTTTATATGTTTCACAATTTTCTAGGTAATTATTGTTCGGACAAGAAACCTGCGGCTGTAAACTGGATTGAAGGCCGTGGAAAATCGCTTGTTTGTGAGGCAATTATCAAGGAAGAGATAGTAAAGAAGGTGCTGAAAACAAGTGTTGCCTCCCTTGTGGAGCTTAACATGCTAAAGAATCTCGCTGGTTCTGCTGTTGCCGGTGCTCTTGGTGGATTTAATGCCCATGCCAGCAATATTGTCTCTGCAGTCTTCATAGCCACTGGCCAGGATCCAGCACAGAATGTTGAGAGTTCTCAGTGCATTACCATGATGGAAGCTGTCAATGATGGAAAGGATCTTCACGTCTCTGTGAATATGCCTAGCATTGAGGTAGTTAAACTATTCATACGACGACATGTTGTTTAAATTAGTGGATTTCTTTATTTAATGATTTAAACTAATAGAAGTGAGGTCATTGTATTATTCATATGCTTATAATCCTTTCATTATTGTAGTTCTTCATTTGGTTTTCGGTGATTTAGGCTGACAGGATTCGTGTTTCTATCAGGTGGGTACAGTTGGAGGTGGAACTCAGCTTGCATCTCAGTCTGCTTGCCTGAATTTACTAGGTGTGAAGGGTGCGAGCAAAGAGTCACCTGGCTCGAACTCAAGACTCCTCGCCAACATTGTGGCTGGTTCAGTTTTAGCCGGGGAGTTGTCTCTGATGGCTGCCATTGCACAAGGGCAGCTTGTCAAGAGTCACATGAAATACAACAGATCCAGCAAAGATATATCCAACGCTGCATCTTAGAGACAAGGGAGTGGTCCAGCAATGGAATGAAAGGGAAATAAAAGAGAAACAGCCTGAAAGATTTAAAATTGTGGAGGAAAAAAAAAAAAAAATCAACGCTGTCGGTGCCCATGTGAGATTTGATTAGCTTGCACGATTGTAAAGTTGCTATTGTAGAGGTGGGGGAGATTGATGAGAACATGAATAATCGTGCTTTGCTCTCTCTTTCTCTCTTTCCCCCTCAGTGCAAGCATGGCAGTATCCTCTGCTGACAAGTTGGCGAAAGGCCCCACCCTAATATTTGGTATATGTTTGTGTCTTCTTGTGAATGTTTAAGCCCTTTCCTCTGTGTTCTTAGTTGTTAATTAGCAATATATTATGTTTGGAGTTGGGGACCAGAGTGTCTCATAAGTGATTCGAGTTGTGTTTGTGTTTGCCCCTTTTTGTAATTTTATTACCCGAGATGGAGACCCTTGATAAATTAAATTGGATATTATAAGACATTCTAGTTTCCTTGGCTTGTAATTAGTTAAGAGTTGCTTTCAGAGTGTAATCTCTCTTTTTTTTTTTTTATATATAGAAATGGCTAGAATTTGAACTCTATTTGTGCATTTCATGGAATGTTTATACGGTCAGTGTTGAAAAATGGTTACTAAACTTTGTCAGACTCCGGTTTAGGGTTTCTGTCATGTCAACTTAACTTCTACTGTCATTTCGGTGGAAGCTTATCCTTCTTGTTTTGACTCTTGTCCAATTCATGATGCCCCGTTTACCTGGTGAGTTGGTAAAGGATCGATGTATGGTAATGAACTGCTGATAAACAATCTCACATGGGACACCAGTACTGAGTTGGAATAGCATCTCAATAACAGGATATTGTATAAGTAAAATCCGAAGAAATGACCCATGATCCTTATATAATGAAATGAATTTTCATCCTACTCGATCAGAACCGGCTAAAGCTACCGATGCTATTTCGCAACAACCGCTCTAGCCTCAGAACCGGCTTCCCAACAACGGCCCCAACCCTGTGATTCCGAACCAACACGTGGTCGAAACATTTTACTTAGTCGTTATATTCTATTTTTCACCGAGATTCTATCAATGACAACTGTATTGACCGACTACTCCTCGGAAGTAGCCTGACAAGCCGATCCATATCCAGAAAAAAAGAGTTTTTTTTTTAGAACAGGGTATTTGTAAAATAAGATTGTTTTAATCTTATTTATCAAAACAAGATAGTTTTTGCTATTTAGACTAAATCTCTTATATATGTCAATTTTTTTAAGGCTAATAATGAATTATTTAACACATCATCTTTGTTTTTTTTTCTAAAAAATTATTTTATCATCCTAAAATCTATGTTCTTCATCTTCTCTTTATAACCAAAAAATCTTTTTTGTTTTTCTAATGAGAATACTGTTTTTAGTCTGTTTCATTCAGTCATCTCTCTAGATCAAAATACATGGTCAGGCCTTATTCTGTTACTCGACAATTTTAGTCAACAAATACCAGTAACAGTTCCCTTCTGCAAATTCTCAGAGTCTAAAGACATTTTGCAGCTCTTGAAGCTGTAACGGAAAATGTTGGCACTACTGAAATGTTTTTTCACCAGCAAAGTAGAGGACCGGTTTCAAAGCACTAGGTGTAATCAAGTAGAATTCATCTTTTCTAGCATAGCTTTGGCCGAATCTAGTTGCTCTGTACAATATTCCCAAATTCAAGATAAGAATGCAGTGTTGTTATACTTGAATGGAGCACAATGAAGATTAACCTCGAGTGGATGAGAAAAGATCTCTTACTCTGTTCATAAGCTATTACTTTCTGGGCAATTGTACAGAAAAAAGTTCCCATTTTTATGATAGACAGCCTGCAGTCAAAGAGAAAGCATGTTATGTCCTCTCAATAATAGGCTTATTACCACCATACAGAGAAACCAAAAAACAAAATTTAATTCAATAAAAGATATACATTAAGATAACAGACATTTTACTAACAGCATTTAAGCAGAAAAGCTTGTCATTTGACAAAGTTATTTACAGGTAATTCGATCCTGAGCATTGTTCTTACTATAGGCTAATACCTGGAATCCTCTGTTTATTTTGCATTCTTTTTGCCACTTTATTGCTGGCTCTTTCCAATCTATTACATTGATCGACTTTCAGGAAAAAAAAAATGAGCAGAATGAAAAGGACACAAAACTTACTGCGTTGTCTTTTATAAAACAGCAGACATGAAATGTAATTAAATTTTATCATGCAATAGTAAATCAGCATAAAATCAAAAGAGTTTGATGAAAAGTACCAGAGGAATAGCTTTGGAAATCAACGCCTGCAGCAGCAAGTGTTTCTTTTATTTGTTCTCTACGTCAACAAAAAACTAACCAAAAAAATATCAAACCATGCCCAACTCCTTAAAATCTTTACACATATCATCATTATGACTTAGAAGTACTACTGTAGTAGCCAGCATATTTCAATGATACAGCATACTTGATAAAGAGATTTTGTCAATTGACTTGTTGATGAGACTCAAACTATGAATTCTGTGGTCTTGTAAACTATGTGCATGAACTTTACAAAAGAAGTTTTATCATTATTGGGGTATCAGCATCATTAATTTAAACTAACAATTTTCTGTGCCTCAGGTTTGCCTGCCCAAGTTTAGTTTGACTGGCCCCTCAATAATTGATCATAATTCATAGGGTAGAAAGGACAACAAAAGTGAGTGGTACTGTTGCTTGGTGACTCCCTCAAGAGCAGCAACAGACCTGTTCCTCCTGCAATTCTTTGGCAACTCTTAAGAGGGTATCAGACTGATGGCGAGTGGTACTGTTGCCGAATCAGAAATAGAAGAAGAAGAAGAAATAAAGTTGGGATCTTATGATGGGAAGGTGAGAGTGCTAAGGGAAGATGAAGACGCAGCTGCAGGGGAAATCATGTTCTGGCGGGGTATCCACCGGATACCCATTTTGAAAGCCATACTGTTGTACAAACAAGATTTACTTCATTCTTCTTTTAATGCTCATAAGAATGCTGTTGTTTTGTGCAATTTATTATCTAAAGGACGTGAAGAAAAATCAGCAATCTTATTAACATACGCTAGAGAATTAAAATTTTTTTTATCACAATTAAATAAATAAAAACAAGAGAATTTAGAAAAGTATCTTAATTGATAATATAAATATATTAGAGAATTTTTTTAGTAATCGTGGTTTTAAATTATGAGAGTATTTAAACTTTAAGAAATTAGGACAAAGATAACGAAATAGAGATAGAGAGCATAAATTAATTTTTCCTTTTATGTTTCTAATTTTTTTTAAAATCATTATATTAAATAATTATTATAGCATTTAATTAAAAAAAATAACGTGTATGCCTACATGGAAAAACTATCTTTTTTTATAAATAAATTTAAAACTATCATATTATAAGAAATAAGATTAAAAAGTATAGTATTTACGGAAAAAACTCCAGAAAAAAGTAATCTAGACCAAAAAAAAAAAAAATTATATATATATATATTTTATCTCAAATCAATTAATTGAATATTGATTAATACGAAATCGATTCTTTTGTAACTCTCTCTCTCTCTTTCTTCGGTGACCTATTTTTCTTCAATTATAATATTAAGCTAATAATTTTTCGAGTTTGTTTAAAAATGTAAAAATAAAAAATAGATTGAAAACTCATTTTATTATATAATAACAGATTATATTCCATTTCATGTAAAAATCCCGATCGAAGCTACATCATAGCACCTGCACGTCCGTCAAAATGACTACCCTAAGGAACGATGGTTACTCTGTATAGGTAAACACAGCATAAAATTTTTTGCTCATACTTTACGTATCTCAGTACGTGGATTGTGGAGTCAAAGAAATCCCAGCACTTCCTTAGAACAACGAGATGACCATACTGTATTTCCATGGAGGAGAGGGACCACATGCAGTCAGATCTATTATGAAAGAACATTCAGTGTTTGCCACATGCATCTCCTCGACAACAACATGGTTACCCAGTGATATCCTGTTCCAACGATACCTGACAGTCACATCTGCCGATTCTGAAGCTTTAAGCTGGAATATGTATCTGTCTACTTTCCCCATTCCCTCTCCATCACACAGACTGACAGATACATGGATAGAAGAGGTTATGATCACGGATCACGTTTCACGTTACACACATTGAAGAAAAACAAGGTGGCTATAATAAAAAGTTTGGAATGGTTAATATATTTATTCCATAAAGTTTGGAATCCAATGGCTATTTGAGGATTCAATTAAATGATTTTTGTGAGATTTTTTTTCTTTCTAAAACGATCCATTTGTATTTTTTAGAGATTTGTCTCTCTCCTAGTAAAAAGAAAAGAAAAAAATGGAAGAAAACAAAACATAGGCCGAAAGAATCCATTCAAATTCTTTAACTTGGGCCTAAAGAAGGCGATGTGCCGACTGTAATTGGGCCTTGGAACCGGACACGTAGCTGCTGCCGAGAACCCGAGCGGCGGTGAAAGTCATTCGTCTTTAACTTTACTCCTAGCAGAGAATTTACCGTATCTCAAACTCGTGGGTACCACTCAATTATCCGTGGGTAATACTGGATTAGCTGAGCATTTCTCAAAGCTTTTAAATCTTAAACAGTTGAATTAAAAAGAAGTCGGAAACAAGAACCCTAAATTGTAAAAAAGAAGAAGGAGAAAAGAATCGAAGCAAACAATGTCTAGCGGGTGGAGAAGAACAGTGGGGAATGTAAGGTCGTTTGTAGGGAATTCAATGGGAGGTCTTAGAGGAGGAAGCAATCTAGCGTCGTGGATAGTTGCAGGAACCTTAGCTTACTATCTCTGGATTAAGCCATCTCAGGATCTTAAGCGACAGCAAGAGGTTCCTTCTCTTCCTTTCGCTTCTCTTCTGTTCCTCGTTTCATCTGACAAATTCAATACTGATAACTTCTACTATTCCATTAATTTTACTTGCTATCGGCCGAGCAGGAAAAGGCAGCACTTGCCAGTTCTGATCCTTATCGTTACGTCGAGAAACGGAAGCCAATTCCCGATCGACAGGTCTGTCTTGTAACCCAATTTATGTGTCATTTTTTCTTTTATTTCTTGCTATGATTGAATCATGAATTGGAATCGGCTGAATTGTGTGCAGGAAACTGGATTGATATACGGGAACAAGAACAGAACAAACAAATCAGAGGAATAATTTGCTATCAAAATCCCATACTTATATAAATTGTAAGTTAGATTTGTTTACTTAATATTTCTTTGTACTAATATTAAATCAATTTTTTTTAGAGCTGCAATAAGAAACGGGAACTAAGTTTTTGAGCACCTGATCACTATATCTATAATGTTAGCTTTGTTAAATTCCCAATTAAATTGCACTATACTTGAATGTGCTTCTCCCCAGAAATATGTTATTTTCACATGGTTAATGATTTGGATAAAATGTTATTTGATTCATCGGATGTCACTGAAGTGTTGAATCATCTGGTGTGATATTGAAGCATTTAGTACTGAAGTTTGAATGGGTTTAGTTTGTTCTGGTTGACATGCAGTTGATCATATTTTATTGCCTCTCTCTTATTGAAATTATTGCTGTAGGCAAATATCAAAATATGGAGATGTGTTTGCTCGTTGTATATTGATTTGAATGGGTAGGGTCTCCCGAGGCGCATATGGCTGGCCCTTCAGGTGTCTTGGTGTTATACTCATTACTAAACTTGTTGAAGAGATGAAATATAACCAAGGTATATCTTTTTAGTCAGAGGTTGAATCGATCATCAGAAGAATAATTAGGCCCTTCCTTTTTGGGCAAGACAGAATGGGCTGGCACGAGCGGTATCTGAAGTGGTTTTCAGTGACCAACGATGCAGCACATGTTTAGAAAATAGAGCTGTGAAATTATTTGCCTCGATTTAGCATGATTTCAACTTAAGATTAGAGTAAGAAGAGAAAGGGATGTTTATTGGTCTACTGAATCAGATGAAAAGGGATCTTTTCGTAGGAAGATTATACAGGATCTTTTAGCTTAATTGGAAGTAGAATTTCTTAAAATGTTGGAAAAGAAACTTTTAATGAGTTTGAGAGTTGTCCTACTACTGAAATAAATTTGGGAAAGAAAATTGTAATGCTGGAAATTGGTAGGAAATGATGGGTTGATTTGACCTTAGTCTATAAATAGTCAAGTTACTTTAGAAGTTAGTGCTTGGATAGATTTTGGTCCAATGTTTTTCCAGTTAAATAATGTAGAGCTAACTCTGGAATTAAAATCAAGGGATATAAACTATTTTGATTCACATGACATCTTATCCACTGTGGTCAATGAGAAGTGCTTGTTTTCGGAGGCTATGAACTTCCATATGCTACGTATTCCATGAGGATATGACTACTCTGATTTTGTGCGCTAACAAGTTCCCTGCATGTTGCCTTTTTTCAATCAGAAATATGGTTCTAGCTGCTGCTTGTAGCATAAGTAGCGATCCCTTCTGGTCGCCTTATCATCACCTTCTAAATATTGTCTCGTGATCTAAGCTGGTGAGCGTACATTAACCTGTAAGCTTCAGGTTAATTTGAGATTTCACTTGACTTAAGGAGACAACAGAGAGAGGATAGCTTCATGGTCTAGCATCTAGGTTGTTTGAAATGTTGGAACACAGAGAAGGTTCTTTGAGGATGTTGCCAAATATGATTTTTACTAAGGAAAAAAATTGGAGCCAAAATGGCGTCATAGCGTGACTTATAGGGGCTTCAAGGAGGGAGCTTGTGTGTCTTCGTGGTTTGGAATTGTGCATTCACAGACTAGATAAACTGGATGAAAACAATGTCACGCAGTGAATTTGTAGAAACCAGTTTTCCCTTCATTATGATCAAAGGACATGTTAGAATGTAGAGCAGAGGGAGACGGATCCTGTCAAATTGGTGTTACAGGCAACAGAAATCCATAATGAATGACGTCTGTATTCATCTTTTGTAGGTGTATGCTTTATTTTCTTTGAATTGGAATGCACAGAGTGTTGGCCGCACGTAATCCTTTGGCACCTCCGAGGTGCTATTGAAGACACTTTCTTTTCCCCCAATAATCTTTTTAAGATAGTGGAATCTAGCTTTCAACTAGGAACGACTCTAATGAAACAATCATCGCATATGTTGTGAAATTTAGGTTGTGCAGGTGACGAATATATCGTCTCCTTAACCTGTTGCAGTTCTTTTTAAGGTTATGGGCCAAACATCTCTCCATATAGAATTTGTTCATTTGGTAGTGTCATCTATCAAAGATTCAAACTTGGACTGCCGTTCTTGTTTTCTTTCAGAATCTGAATCAAATGCTTTTCTGGCTGGTGCTGCCCTTGTAAATTTAAAAAACTCGGTTTGGTCTACTCCATGACAAATACTGTCTTGTGAATGGGTAAAAGCGCAGTTCAAGAAAAACAGAGAGCTAAAAGTGGGAAGGTCTGGCCTGAAGATGGGTAACACTGGGCCATTTGCTGGAAAAATGAAGAGAGGAGGGAAAGTGAGCGAGAAAGGCCGAAAAAGAGAAACATAGGGCTGATCCATCATATATTGTTTTAATTATGTTCGACTTGCCGGGGGCTTCATATCCTGACCTGCTGCTTATGCTTTATTGGATCGAATATGACTCTTTGATGCCCACTGGCCACTGATGCCATCTTTCGTTATTTTCATCCACAGATTTAATTAAACTTTAAACCTTATTTCAATTGTGGGAAACTTCTTGACTATTGAGATGATACAACATATTAGTACTTCTTTCCATGCTGAACCCATTCACTGCATTTTATTTTTAACACCAGAGTAATTTTATAAGAACTGGAATTCCTTATAGACCACTTACACCGACCCCAACTCTTCAACTCTAGGAGAAGGAAACCTGTCCTATTGCCGTGGGCTTTACAAGTTTAGCTCACAAATGGGTTGGAACTTGGGACTAGGGATGGCATTGGGTCGAGTGTAAAGTTGGCATGTCCATCAAATTGAGTGAATTGTGCGTTGGTATTTCAAATTAAAAGCCATCTCTTGGTCCAGTTTACACTTCATTTTGTTAAAACTTGGTGCAGGAAGCATCCACTCGAGTCCTGTGAACTAGATAAAAGTCTAGCTGGGAAAAAATATGGCAGGTAGATAGCATGAGTTTAAATGGCAATCCTGCCAAATAGCTGAATTATGCAGATGCATCTACTGCTGTTTGTGACCCGGCATTTACCTTATAATTTTTGTATACCCAAAAAGGTTGCGAGTTGAAGCAAGATGAAGATAGCAAGAGTCACAAAATCTCATTTCACAGCCAGCCTGAAGATAATGATAACAAGAAACCAGTATGTTAAAAAGCCCAAATAGTTTAGCTTAATAAAAATATAGTCTACATAAATCACAAAATACAAATATGACTAATTATATATATAAAAAATTATTATATAAACAGTGTCTTGGCAAAAAGAGTTGGTAACAAAAAATAGTTTTCAGTAAAAGAAAAATTATTATTTTTTTTTAATTTAAGGAAAAAAATTAGTGGGTAAATCAGATTCTAAATGGATAATAAGTATAATATTTTTTTAGTAGATAAAATACGAGATTAGCTCAACGAGATAGATATCCGAGCCACTACCATTCCAACTTTGGACCATCCACAAGGAGTCAAGGACACTAGGGACAGCGACAAGATGTGCCACCTCATAAATAGCACCCGTGTAATCACATATAATTCGACGCACCGCGCGACTCCCAGATGTGGGAACTCTTGCAGTCTGCTCTGAATTTTAACGGCCCTAGGTTATCTTTTGGGATATATGGCTTGGAATCAGAATTTATCGTCATATTAAAGGTTGATCCATTCTCCTTCTCTAAGAATAGACTTGTCTGGAAGCTAGGGACTCTTTCGATTTGATCTTCACTTTGACTCTGAATCGAATGCTTTGTTCCAGCTCTTTTTTGCACTTTTTTGTTCGAGCCAAGCAAACTAAATACTACTTTCTACTTACTATTAGTGAAGCCAAGGGAGATTTCTAAATCCAGTAGGTTTTGAAAGCAAAAGAGCCCAAAGGTTGTGGACCCAAAAGTAGCGTCGGCTGGTTCGTGGAATCTGTGGTTGGGATCAAGTTCAAGGCATAGGTCAGTGGGCTCCATATTACCAAGATCCACAAGAGGACATGATCACGTGACAATCAGCTTGAATGGTAGACAATTGGACCAATTATTGCTTAAGCCCGTCCCAACCACTCAATCATCCAGGTGGAGTGTAGTCACGTGAACCTCTGTACTTGTCAGCCTGTCTATGTGTCACTTGTCTTGTTCTTGAAGGCCCAACCTCCCAAGAATTTCACGTCACTACTCAACAACAAAGATTTGGACATTTACTTGCTCACTTGACTTTCCTATGGCTGATTGATTGAATACTGGGACTTGAATTGTATGTCCACCCTACTTGCTCTCCGAATCTAATGATGCCAACTGCTAACAAAATCACTTGCATCATTAATACATGCTCTACGGTAACCGGGTTCTTGGCATGAATTGGAACTTCTCTACTTGCATACAGAAACTGGGTCCTTGGTAGATTTCCTCATTGAACTAACGAAGATTAGTTTTTTTTTTTTTTTTTTTTTGTTTTTCTGCTGAGAGGGAACCGATGAGCAGTCATTGGCAGGTTAATTTTGGGGCCACTGCCATCAGAAATGAAGGGATTTTGTCCAGGGGATTGGATCGAAAAGGATCCGTGATAGGGTTTAGGTGACTAATGGGATTGGGTGTGCATCACATGGCACCATGACTAGACTAATATAATTTAATTATAAAGCCATCTGCAACTTGCTTATGCTTTTTAATACTATATTATTAGATTATTTGATAGTGCTGTTAGGCTTTTGTCAAGCTTAATGTGCTCGATCCCCTTTAATTATTTTCACCAACTGGTCCCAACTTTGAACCTATGGAATCGTGAGCCACTGCACTTGTTGACAATTGACATGATCTAAACTATATATATATATATGTTGGCAGTATTTTGTTTCATTTTGAACTTTTGCACTGAAATTTAGTGGCAAGCATCTTAATTAGTAAACCATGGATGACAAGAAAAAGAGAAAACTAACTCATCGTAAAGCAAAGCATCATACTATTATTATGTTTTAAGGTTACATTATGATCATAACCAGGATCTAATGCTGGAACTGCATTAAATATCCCATCAAAGCTGAGCTTCAATAAAAATATTCAAAGTTCTACTTATCAGCTTCTGGGTCTAACAAATAGTGTCTTTTTTTGCCCTAATGGTTAGCTACAGCTAATATCAACAGCATTTTTGCAATGATAAGGGCTTCGATTTGTTGAGCCACTAAAGCTAATTAGTATTTTAAAGAGAAAAGAAAAGAAAAGAAAAGATGCTTATTTAAAGATGGTCGAGTGATTCCCACGTCAAGGGATTCTCATACATCATTTTTTGGGTATTTCCTTTGTTTCGAATTCAAAAGTCTGAATTTTTAATTATTTACAGATTATATATGTATTTTATAGTTGAGATGGAAATTAATTTAATGTATTGAACTTGATTGGCTATGAAGTGCATCAAAACAGTAGAAATCTAACTACCTCTCGGGTAGTATATGGGGAATATAATTTGATGGATAAATAAAATATGGCAGTCAACCTCACCTGCGGCTATCAATGACAGGGAATTTAGGTTTTTTTTTTTTTTTTTTCTGTATAATACTTGTCATCTGTCTTTTGGACTTCCTGCTTGTATGACAAAATATACATTAAAAAAAATTAATTAATCCATGGTATCAAGGCATTTATATATATATAAAGTCAAGTTTCATCTACTCAGACTAATACCCAGAACATCATTATGGTGGCTTTTTGTTGAAACAACGGGGCATTCTGCAATCCAACCACGAAAAATTTGTTTGATTTAGGGTTCGGATTATTATTGAAAAATCAATAAAACCAACATCGTCTTTGTTTTTTTTATTCATCAGTATATACTATAAAAAAATAGTTTTTTCACGTTCCATAATAATCAAATAAATTAAAATTTAAATCTATTTTATTAAGGAAAAAAAAACCTATTAAGAGTACAATCGATAAATCATGCTTAGGATGTAGATGGTCTGGTGATTTTTATTTTTACTGTAGGTTACTCAATGTTAATTTTTTTTTAATAGATTTTTTAAGATATCACATACTTAAAGATTTAGATGAATACTTAATTGTTCTACCAGTACATAATACGAAGATAACTATTAAAAAAACAAATTTACATACATAAAAAACCTGAACTCAAAGTCACTTTTTAAACTATCAGAGCTTATTCTATTATAATCAAACCTAACGGCTTGTTCACAGTATTAATTGAAGATAGGGTGAGAGTCGTTGCAGAGGATCCTACAGGGTGAAGAAGGAAGGAAATGGCGTTGGTCTCCATAGTAGGGACACATGGATACAAGTGGGGATGGTATTTTCTTGACTGAGATTGGAGATGTGATGGTTGGCATAAATTGGACGTCAGCCAAAGATTCAAACATGTCATGCCACTTCCATCCACTTGTCCGTGAGGACCCGAGCCTGGGAAGACGCAATTGAATTGGAAGCTGACTGCCATGGGTGTCGTGAACCTTCCCAGTTCAGATATTATGGGTCCAATCAGAAACTCCAAAAAAAGAACTCATCAATGAATCCCGTGGTTAATGCATCAATATGGAAACGAAAAAGCAAAGGGACTGGCTAGAAATGCCAGTAGTAGTGGATGTAATCAATCACAAATTCTCTTCGATTTATGGTATTTCAAGAGAAGATCATTCCTTTTTAGTATCTTCAGGCAAGTGATGTGCCACTTGTGGAACAAAATCTGATCGTGCAAATATTGCAAGAAACGTTTTTGCGATAGAGTATATATAACTTAGCAAATTGATTGGTGACATGTGAAATGACTCAGGCTTGTGGGTTTCAGACGACAGGAAATACTCATTTTGAAAAATGGTGGGTCTGTGGCGTCAGGTCATGCAGCTGGGAGAGTAAATGCGGCTGGGGACAAGGCTCAAGAAGGAGCTTGCGGTTGCCTTTTGCTTTTGTTTTTGCCTCAAAAAATTTGGATTTTGCAAAATAATTGACTCCAATGAAACAGATTTTAATAGTTTAAATAAATAATTTTAAATTTAAATTTTTATATATATTAAAAATTATTTAAATAATTATTTTTATTTTATATATAATTCGATAAAACAATAAAAAATTAATCTGAATATTTAAATATAAGATACCCTAAAGGATTAAAAAAAAAAATCTACTTATCTTTAGTTCTCAACTTATGATAGATCCAACCAAAATCCTTACTAATAAACATTGATTTATTTATTTTTATTCTAATTGCTAATAGTTTAACATCTTTATATCAAAATTATCTAAAAATATTAAAAAAATACTAAAATAGCATCAATTTTAATATTTTTATTGCACTTTTTAATGGTTTAGCATATCTATATTAAAATTATCTAAAAATACTGAAATAATATCAATTTTTAATATATTTTATTGTTTTTTTAATGGTTTAGCATATCTAATCAAAATTATCCAAAAATACTGGAATAATATTAATTTTTTAATTGTTTAGCGTAGTTATATCAAAATTATTGAAATTTTTATATATTTTTTTAGAATCCAAATATATTTGGTGAAAACACTTAGCCAGCTTAGTTCTGTGGACAAACGGAGTCGTACGCGGAGAAATAATCTAATTAGCTATATAAGGTTGACCAAGTACCAATGTCCCGACAGCTTCCACGTGGTCTGACACATCAACAGTTTGCTCTGTATTATTGACCACACGTGACCTCTATTTGGATTTTGCCTTCCCTTCCCTAGTGGCTAAAAATCACTGCAAGTACTTCATCATTTGTAGCTTGGCCAGATTAAACCTTCTATAATCAATTTGGTCAACATTGGTCCCTGTAGTTCCATTCT